TAGTGACTGCAAGCAACAGTCTCTGCGGAGCCGTGCATCCACGCGCTCTTTCAGCCTGCAGGGCGTCAGACCCAACCCAATATCCACACGTCAAGGGTGTTAGCTGTTGTTCTTTTAAGCAGAGCGAAGTTAGCACTCCTTAGCAGCCTGTGTGCAACCAGCATATGATATTCTGTCAGTATAGTTCAATTCACAGGAAGCTTTTTAATCCGTTAACATATCACACAGGCCGTTTGCCTCCTCAAGGAGTGAAAGCCCTCCAGATGCACATAGGGTGCGCTACATGAAGGTTGAACAGGGTATGCCACCCAGGTAGCTTGAAAGGTTGTCCAGGGTTTTGGGAGGGGCTTTAATGGGCGGAAGAAGGATCCAATGGCCGCGGCATCAGCATCAGCCAGAGGTGTCCGTCCTCGCCGCTGATCATGACAAGTTGGTAGGTTCCAAAAGACCTCGGGCAATTCCCCTTTAAGTGCAGTAGCGGTACAACGTCCAATTCTATGTGCAGTGCATTGAGCTGTGCTCACCTACTCTGTTAAACTCGTCGTTTCTGGAGCACACTACAAGATCCCCACACACATCTCACCCATGTTGTTGACAGCCCTGGAGGCATTGAAACTGGCGCCACTGCGAGGCCCAGAACTGGGGACACTGAATGCTAAACCTAATCCATTTTAGCCGCGGTGTAACTTTGCTGGCTCCACGAATGGCTAATGGACATCCTTCGATATCCCAAACGCCGATGGCCAACCCCTACGCCACCTGGATGGCGACTTCTGGAAGCCGATAGCGTTCAGTTGCTCATGAAGGGCGGCAAGCTTGCTGTCCCCGCCACTCCACTCTGCTGGCAATCATCAGAACATCAGAATATCAGAATAGAGATATGAAACGAAGCTCGTATTCAGTCCACAGCAATGGCCGTGCCCACCAGCTACTGTGACTCAAGAGAGCACACACAGAAACAGACGAAGGCCCTTCAATATCCAGCCAAACTCTCTTTTTTCTTGAAACAGAACTTGGGAAGCTTTTGGCTGCGCTAACCTCGTGTCCTTGTGCCCTCCACCAAGCGCAGTCATTAGCGTCGAAGTTGGACGGTGAATAAAGTAACCTCTCTTTCTTGCCTTCGATCCTGTTGCTTCATCAGCTTACAACCTAGCAGCACCGCTTCTTGGAGGTTCCGAACTGTCCTCTGTTGTTAGCCGACGTTTATCGCTTATCGATTCGCTCGTCTACCTAGCGCTTCTTAGAATCCGTATTGGTTAAATGATCCCTGAAAAATGACGACCTCTTCGTGTCCACGGCCTCTCGAGGCTCGACAAATGGATCCATCCTATGCTTTCGCTACACCTGCACCGCGAAAAAGACGCAGAAAAGCTGCTGGCAATGGTGCGGCCGACGACTGCTTTACCTGCGCTAATCGCAGTGTCCAATGCGATCGACGACGTCCATACTGCACCCAGTGTCTGGGTTTGGGTGTGCAGTGCTCGGGTTACAAGACCACCTTGACATGGGGAGTTGGCGTAGCTAGTCGAGGCAAACTGCGCGGGCTCTCCTGGCCTGTTTCTGGCTCCCAACAGGCTGCTTCTGCCACCGTCGCGGATTCCACTCGACAAGCAGCCGAAGCGGAACGCCGTCCTGCTCCGTCTTCGTTCCAAGTGCGTTCGGCCTCTAAGGAAGCCACCCGCCCGGCCTCAAAACGCCCTCGACTCAATCGACGGCCCAGGAAGGCCACCGCAGCGACCACTACCGATCCGCTGCTGCACGTCGATGTGACCATTTTTCCATCATCTGTCTCCTCTAACAATGGTATTTCTCAAACCAGCACACCCGCTGGGTCGTCGATGAAGTCTGCTCAACAGTCGCAGAGAGAGAACAAACGTCCGCTTCCTGTAAATTCCGCGGCTGCCGTGCTATCAAGTCGTCATAACCATGGCCGTGCTGTTCTTTTCCGAAGACCAAAGGCCGAGTCTGACCATGTCGAACCTTTACCTAAGAGCCCATGTCTCGATAGGACCCCCGCGCGTCCTCCCCACCTACGTGCTTCCCACCCAGCCATAAGCAATAGCGATATCAACAACATGTGTTCAAATTTAACTTCGGGAGTACAGGGATATAGCTTGGGGAATAGCTGGAATCATAATTCTTTCGCAAAATCTCAATTTGAAGCTCTTCCCCTCTGCCCGCAGAGGGATACATATTACGCGAATAACGAAGAACCGGAGGAAAGCGCAGACACAACCTTTCTTACCCAGTCGCTCAAAGAAGGATCTACGCCTCCCAATTGCTCTCTGCTAAATGCCAACCATCGAGACGCTAATACCCCAAACCAGACTTCATTTGTCCCACAGCCCATGCCCATGCAACTCATTGGCGGGACACCTCGCATGCAGTATCTCATCAGCTACTATGCAGAAGTCATATCCCCTGTTATCGTCGCTTTTGATAGCCCAGCAAACCCCTACCGCATGTTTATTCTCGAACTCGCCAAGAGTAGCGACACCCTACAGCATGCTATTGCTGCGCTTTCCTTGAGCAACCTCAGACAGCGGAAAATGCACAGCGGTTTGTCTGCGGGGAAAACGTTGCCAGTTCGCATGTCCTTGACCGCCCATTATCGTCTGGCAGGACTGTCTTGCGAGGAGGGACTTGGAAGACTAGGTGTCGAAGAGCAGCAGAAGGAAGAGTTATTCCACAAAGCAATGGCAATCAAATCACTGAATGCTCAGCTGGCACATCCTACCCAAAGGTTTGCGGACAGCGTCCTTGCCACGGTGCTCGTCCTGTGTCTTTTCCACATGTGTGATACAGGGGTTTCTAAGTTCCAACCTCAACTTGCTGGCGTAAAGAAGCTGCTTGCCCTGCGAAGGAGCGCTAATAGGAATTTCTCTAGCCTTGTAAAGTGGTATACACGTATGTTCGTTTGGTTCGATGTGATGACCGCAACCATCAACAATCGCGACTGCGAATTTACCGGTGACTACCTGGATATTGTTTCCAGCGGCAATGATGACTGGGCGTTTGCGAACCTAGCGGGATGCGATGGCTCAATGTTTAAAATGATCGGCCAGCTGGGCCGTCTGAACATGCTGAGCCAGGAGAGAGCAAAGGACCCTTGCTCTTCCGTGAATGAACAGCCTGTCGCAACAGCTCTTCTCCCACCGAACATGCTCCACAAAACCTCCCTGCCGCCCCCATTCAAAGAAACCTACAACAATACAAATCCAATCCAACTCCATGCGGAACATACCATTCAACAACCACCACCACCATCAATACCAGCGGACTTCGACTCCCGTGCAGAATTCTGGCGAGAATGGCAGGCGCTGCGCCAGAGACTCGAATCATGGCACCTCCAGCTGCCCGATGGCTACCACACAATAGGTTCCGCAACCATCGCCTCCCCATACCAGTACTCCGTATCCTCACCACTAACTCCCGCACATCTATCCCCCACAAACCTTTCCGACCTCTCTAACATTTCTGAATCCTTCCGTTACTCTGCTCTCCTCTATCTCGAACGCCTCGCAAACCCAAACCTCCCATCCTCCCACCCGCGCATCCAAAGGCTCGTCTCCGCCTCCCTCCATTACATCGGCGCCGTCAAGTCCGATGTCTACCTCCTCTGGCCGCTCTTCGTGACCGGCGCGGAGTGTACCCTCGAAGACCATCGCGCATTAATTCGCCAGCGCTGTTCTGATATTCAGAATGATTCAGGCTTTATCAACAATCTCGCCTCCCTGCGGGTGCTTGAGAAGATCTGGGCTGCAGATTCTGGTGATTGGAAGTCTGAGAAGCAGCAACCGACTTCCTCGGTGGCGATGGCTTCCACGGGCATGAAGGAGAATAGATCCCCTGAGCGTGGGGAGAACTTGGATACGGGATTTGGGGACGGCGCGGCTGTCAGTTTTATGCCACTGGCAGTCCCAGAAGGTGGTGAAGCGTTTAAATGGAGGAGAATTATGAATTTAGAGGGATTGGATGGAGAGTATATTGTGGTTTAAGGAGTTCGAAGTGTTTGTCCCAAGTGCGTATATAAGCTGTTGATTGGCGGGCAAGGTAAATCTTTTCCATCTCATGTAATGAAATAGCTCATTGGTGTATGTATATTTTATGTTTTAGGTATCTTGATATTTATCTCCTACGGTACATAGCTGCTTACAGACAATACGCACCTTACTGTGTTTCAACTCTTATCCTTTTTCACAAACCCAGCTGAGCGAATTGGTCTCTACAAATAATGACCTCAGGCAACTTGAGACATCTCTCCGTAGCCACACATCCCACGCTAGCTTGGCGGTTTGGCATATGCCCTACCGGCTTTATACTGCTTCACCTCGCACAAGTACCGTACAATACAATACCCGATATCAAATATGCACACACCTGCGTTGGCAGTTACATACACTATTCACGTAAGGATCGATTCTTTGAACGGTCTACTCCACACGCTACGCGATGTCTATTTTGCGCCCTCTCTTTCTTGCCAACGTGCGTGGAATCGTTACACACGCTTGTGTCACTCATTCCACGGGGGCCAGGCTGGGGGGTTGCTCATTGACATCTGTCAAGGTGGCTTTGGGTGACGGACAATATCATGACCTCCCTCTCCCCCCACCCGCCGGTGTGGGGAAGTCAGTTGAACTTTCTACTGTACGACACGATGATGTGCGAGGTCAGGGAGTACAGACTAAGAAACAAATCATCCATTGTTTCGTGTTCTGTGTGCTTTTATGTGTTACAGGAACAATGCCGGCCTTTTGTCCTGGGCTGCTGTGTGCGATACGAGTACATTGTTTCGTGCGATGCATTGCGTCGTGATGGGAAGTGATATCATTTAGTTATTTCTGGTAGCCGCGAGCGAGCGGAATTTGGGCATAATTTGGTAAACTTTTCTTTTTTTGTTAATTTGCTCTCTCATTTCTAAAGTAACACAAGTTTTATTAAAAGCGCTCTACGTCTTGTTACGTAGTTGGCTAGTATGTTCACCCTCCATTTTATATCGCTTATTTCCTTCCATAGATCATTGACCGTTGTCGAATGACAAAAACTCGACCTCTCAGTGACATGTCGGCGCATTGGAAATGTAACGGAAGGCTTTCCTTGTAATAACAGATGTAATACACGTTACTCATCTCTTCACTCACCTGCTTTTTCAGGAGGAGGAGGATGATGATGATGATCAAAATATCCGTACAAAGCAACAGAAGAAATTGGCAGGTCCATCCAGCTATCCATCCATGCATTGATTGCCCTGTTACTTCAGCGACAACTCACCCCCTTCGACAACTAGTCGAATAACTTCCTTATTCAACCCACGCCAATTCTTCTTGGCACTCAGGAGCCAGTACGACAGCGCAAATAACGTGCTCACTCCAAATATAGGAAGAGCATAGTTCATGTTCACCCCGTTCACGGGCAAGTAGTTGGGGAATGGCAGCCATATCGTCACGTAGCAGGTGTAGGCCAGAGCAAAGATATTGACAGGCAACCCCAGACGGCCCATCGTCCAGTCGCCAAATTGGAGATTCTTCTGCTTAAATCGTGCGTGGACCATGCAACTAATGGCAATGATGTATGAGGAAAAGAGGCCTATTGAGGAGAGGGCGATGAAGGCGCCGAAAGCGGCGGTGCTGGCGATGTTAAGGCAGGAGAGAACCATGACAATCACTATGGGGAGCCAGACGGCGCGGACAGGCACGGAGTGTTTTCGGTCGATCTGCATGAAGGCGTTAGTTAGATGTTCTGCTCTGAAAATAGTGTTGCCAGGGGAAGTGCGAAAGGAAGAGCTCATTTGGAAAAACGAAGTCATGAGCAACTCACATATGAGAACCACGATGGAAGACCACCATCGCGAGACCACGCCCATGTAAGGCGAGATGTCGACGCAATGCTGGCTAGATTCACTGCAAGGGAGATAATCAGGAGACCGCAGACCATAGCTGTGGCTGCACTGGTTGACCCGGTAGCTTGTTGGCAAATTTGGATGATCGGCGAGGGCGCAGTGAGGGCGTCCTCTATCGAACCCATCGTGAATAATATGGTCAAGATGATGGCGTAGGCAAAAATGCCGTTGATTGCAACGGTCCAGAACATGGACCGAGGAACAGCTTTTTTTGCACGACGCACTTCTTCGCTCATATGGACAGCTCCATCAAAGCCTTTGAGCTTGTTAGTAAAGTGGTCTAGCTTCGAGTATTTTGTGTATGTCTGGAAGGTGTGGGCAGTAGAGACAGGATTGATAGAAATGGGCATAAGAAATGGAAGGACGGACCAACGAATCCCCACGTCGGGGTCAGCAACCCCAGATTCCAAGATATGAACCCATTACTCCACCCTGAAGCGGAATCGCCCTGAAGAAAGACAAACCTTGCGGAATGGCGCGGTCCCATCCCAACCAGGATAGAGACGAAGACAATGAACAGCGAGACGTGCAAAATACCAGCCAGCAGCTCGATCCAGGGAATAACCCAAAAGGCATACATATTCATTAAGCCCTCGAAAATAAGCATAGCAAAAATAAACAAAGTCAGGTGCCATCTTTGGGGTTGATAACCCGGATAATTGGCCGTCACAACCCCTTGGAGCATGTTTGCAGTGGTATTAGCGACGCCGGCAAGCAGAGACACCCAGGCAAACCAAGTTATCCAGCCCTGCATCCACGTAATAAATCTTTTCTGATTAGGCGGCGCCAGATGATGTGTCCAGTGGTATTGCGCACCGGCAATTGGCTGCATTGAAGCCATTTCTGCCAAAGAGGCGGACTGCGCAAGAGCTCCGCAAACGACCACGATAATGCCCCATGAGAGCGCTCGAGGTCCACCGTTTGTAAAGGAACCTGTGAGATACCTAGCCAATGATTTCGTCAGCGAGGCTGCAGCATGCGTATATATATAACGCGAATTGGGAGTGTTGATATGTTGATTCGTAAACCTACAATGCCATGGTCTCCCAGCTTGACATAAACGTAAGGGCGAAGAAGAAGATCTGGGTGAAATTGAAGAGTTTCTATATTCTTCTATATTAGCTGGAGGAACTTTGCGCATTATCCGCCAAACTAGTTCTAGGGACATATATCGCACATACCTTAACTCTCACCTGGGCTCGGACAGTTTCGCCTGTGGTTCTACTCCGAGAAGGGGGAGACAGGCTGTCATCATTCCGGCCATGCGACGATTCAGATATCATATCGCCATTGTCCTCATGGGCCATAGCACCATTCTGCTTGTTCCAAAGTTGCAGTTCGCGATCCTCCATTCTTGACCCCCAAGCACTTCAATTGACTGCTGAGAAAGCTCTTGTTTGTGTGTTGATAGTTGGAGTGAGCGGGATACTAAACAGATGATAACAGGGCCAGGCGCGGCTGCTACTCAGGAGACAGAAGACGTCGGCAGCATCACTCAGTTGCAGCAGAGACAGTCAATCGATTGTGTGATTGTCAACCGTTGAGAAGAATCTGGCACAATCGGTATGTCTGCATGCAATATAAAAAAGACACAATAAAGGAAATGAAAAACAAGCCGCAAAAAAAAAAAAAAGACTGCCCTTGTGCTGCGTTCTGCAACGCAAGCTGCTTGCGCGCAACCAAGGGCTCTCAGAGCACACAGATACTCGATCTCGACCCGAATGGCCGCACTGCTGCGGGGAGCTCTGAACGTGTCAGACAGCAGGCCTCGTGGGAGAGAGCGACATGGCCCGGGTACACGATGCATTCTAGTTGTCGAGAACCTCCCAGACTGTCAAAACAAATTCATCTTGCTGCTTGCAGGTTTTCTTCACAGCCGACAAGCGGATGGAAAAAGCATTTGGTTCTTAGCCGAAACCCCAAGGGTCTCACCGCAATCCCAAAAACCCACGGAACATTTCCCAGCTTTTCGAGGACAACAAATTAAGTGAGGGCGCACAAGATCCACCAAACAGTGCAGTATGGGCTATGCGTCATCCTATGGCTGCCCAGAAGTGTGATGTGTACGACATACAGCTTTCCGGTTGTCCATTCAGCGCTCACCGTCAAGCCTCTGAACCATGATTTCAAGCATCTGTGTCGCTGATCCAGCCGGCGAGCCGAAGTCTCAACAGCACGCTGTGTCGCTGGACGAATGAGGCCCGATGAGCGCGTTGGCATTTCCCTTTTTTTGCCCTGGGCCTCCTAGAGTATGCTCGCATGGCTCCTAGCATACTGGATGGTTCGGATTGGGCTGCGCGATGTTGGGAGTGTGGGAGGGAATGGAGGTTTGCTCCTAATAATAGTTAAACCAACTTCGATCCCTTTTGAGCCCAATCCGGCGCATCAGCCTTGTCTGTGCAATGATATATATTCTCATATAAGACAGCCACCTGCTGTGGAGTTGGATCTTGAACTCGGCATCTATGAAGCCGTATCTGTTTAAAATTCTTCCAGCGTCGTAGAGGGGAGAATCTCCGCTCTTTGGTGGGCCGCAATGGGGCAGCGAGAGGAGGTTCTTAGTCCGCCTTTCTTGAAAGTTACTCCTACCGACCACGGCGCTTGGGTTATCCTGTCCAGTTGCATCCTCCTTATTCTGACCGTCATCGTGGTGCTCGTGACTCTGATATCACGGGCAAGAGTGCTTCGCAAACTGGTTTTATGTGACTTGTTACTCTCCTTAGCTACGGTTGTGTTCTCCAAATTTAGTCCATTCTTCCGAAGCATTTTACTGACTTGGTTTTGTTGTTCCTAGATACTTCTGTTTGTTGAGACCATATCGAATAAATTTCGCTTGTTCAAATGGCCTCGGTCGGCATCCCAATGCCCTAAGCGAGAAATTATTCCAGTCGTTTGCTAAGGTATGTGCTGCCTTTGCCCAACCCCCCCCCCCCCCCCCTCCTCTCATCCAGAGTTAGTATCGCTTATTTCATGGGAATAGTTCTTCTATGCTAGCCAAATCCTTGCTATCGCATCGTTGGCTTGCTCCAAAGTTGCCCTGGCTTTACTTATCATTTACATCAAGCCACTGAGTGCTGTCCTATATGCGTGTCGCTGTCTCATTGCAGCTATCGCCGCCTGGGGGGTAACGGGAATCATTGCCTTAGCAGCTCAGTGCGATCCCCCTCGGCCGTGGGATTTCAGTGACGGAAGATGCGTAAACCAGCAGGCCCTATATACTGCACTTGATACGCTAAGCATTATCACCGATATTGCTCTCATCATATTGCCGTTCTTCCTGGTATTTCAGGTTCAACTTCCCACTCGAAAACGACTAACGATTGTGAGCTTCTTCTGCATGCGGATATTGTAAGGGAACTCCAACAGCTACCTCCCCGGTTACTAGCCCACTTTACTTTTGGAACTCGCTTACATTCTTCAACTCATAGTGTTCCCCTTTTCACGATATTCTCCTTAGCCTCGCAAAACCAGTATTTCAGCTCAAGGCCTCTCGACAAAACATGGCATGCTGTGCGACCTACTATCTGGGCACAAGCAACGCTCTGCATATCAATAATTACAACATGCATCCCGAGCTTGAAACGTGTCATGGCAGACCTCCAAACAGGGCTGATGGCCGGCAGGGTGACCGAATTTTTGGAGCTGTCCATATCTGGCGGGTCGAACTCTGCAACAGCCGGCCAAGTCAATAATAATTCAGGGCAAAAGACGACGCAAGCAAGGCGAAGCTTAACGACTGTGTATGGTGCGGGGACGATCGACCAAAATAGTGGCAAAGCCCTGCATCATTACGAGAAGAGTGGCCAGAGAATTCGGAAAGGGTACAGGAATTCCATCCTGCTACGGAGGGGAGCGGATCCAAAAAATAAAAGTCTGAGCGGCGGAGCCGAGAAAAACGATGAGATGACAAAACAGGGCGAGCCAGGCCAAGAAGAACGAACACAGAGTATGCCAAATCCCAACAATGCGATCGTGCAGACGATTGGATATGAAGTACGGTATGATCGAGAGGGGGAACAAAGGGAGAGCAATGACCAACTTTGTAGCGGTGCAGATCATCTGCATCATGCAGCTTCATCACAACAATAACCATTAAATAATGAATGAATAAATAAATAGAAATTCTGAACCCTGATTTTCGTAATGTGGCTCCTCCGTTTGTTCGATCGTGTGTCCCGTCTGCAAGTCTTCGTTTTGCTTGCTGGAGCACGTTCTGAGCAAAGCCCTCTCTTCGCTCTAGCTTTGTCAAAAGTCAACATTGTTACCACGCTACGACTCTTGGTAGGAGTAAATGCACTGGGGACCAACGCCACACAAAGCTCTGCGAGCATACAAATTCCAAAGAAAAGCTTATCCCAAACCTGTTGACACTAGCAATAAGCATCGAGCAGGGATGCCATCATGGTCCGGGTACTGGACCCTAACTTTAAGCTTCAACATCAACGTCGATCGGTAGATCGATAAAGAAAAGCCATCGACAAGGAAAATAACCTTCAAAGCAGGGATCCGGGTTTTGGATTTAGACTCCTTATTCAGGGCAGAAAATGTTATACGTCTCCTTGGAGAGAGGGGGTCATTATCATTGTCATGACAAAGAAATGCAAATATTGTCTGTCGGCGGACGTAGCAGGCAAGCAGGTAGGCGATTATTTTGCTTTTTTTCTTCTCAGCCAGACTGTTTAAACTGGATTGTTGGGCCAGTCGCTATCCGCGGCGAGCGCAGGCTATAAAGGGCCTGGTCCTGGTGCAGTTCTTGGGTCCACGTATCAACTGCCATTTGACTAAGCATACTAGTATTGCTCTGCCTCGGGAGGCGATACGGGAGATGCATTCATTAGATCGTCGCTTGGCTGATGTGCCCCGTACATGTAGGTATGCATACGAGTAAAGAGGGACGAAGGGCAAGCATTCAGGATACCCTCATCCGACGAAGATGCGGAGTGCGACGATGGTGGAAGTTGAGCCGGGCCGCTGATTAAATTTCGGAGGCGGCTTGGCTGGACAGGTGGTTAGGTAAGCACGATATCAACCTCAGCAATTCCGTAGTAAATCAATGAACTTTCAACACCGAGTCGAGCCTTGATGGCTTGTCCATAGGTGTCCCCCCAGCAGCATTTCGGTTTCTGAGAATGCGAGAAACCGGATGGACGAAGTTTCATGCACCATGCCAGAGTGGCTACACAGGAGACAAACTCATCACAACCTGAGCCCGGCTTTCTCACGAGGTTTCTGCATGCGTTCTTGAACTTTTCGTCCCACGTTTGAGATCCCCCGAAATGTGTAACCATAGCGAGGGCGCTTCTGGTCATGTATGTTTAGCACGACATTCTCCGCATGGTTTGCCTGGCTAGCGTGGTGGTTTCAGTGTCGACATCAAACACCGACGATCAAACAGGTATGTATGTATGGATGTATGGATGTATGTACCCATTCAAGCCGGGTCTGGATCCGTCAATGTTTGCTATCTGCCAGCTTGCACCCACGGATTCCGTTGAATTGTCCTCTGCGACTCGGCCTCCTGGTTGGTTTTTTACACGTACATACCTGTCCGAAGAAATTTCCCCGTGAGTGTAATGAGTGTAATTGTTGATATGCTGCTATTCAGTTACGAGAGTCGAGCACAGCGGCAATAGAACCTTGCCAGGTAGTTTTAACAGTGGGAGGGGGGAATGGGGGGTTAAGCACGAAGAATACCATGAGAGCTGGGGCTATATTCTCATTGCGATTTCCAGGAACAAGCATGATTCCTCTTATAGCTCCAACAATGTAGAGAACGCAGACGCTTGGGCCTCGAAGATTGGGCAGACAGGCCGTCCAATTGACCATCTACTTACTGTCCCTCATACCGGCTTGCCAGATACGACTCTTCAACACCTACGGGAACACTGGCACCGAGAAATCCTCGTGTTTACTACCCCATGCAAACTCGGAAAATATATCTGCAGTACGGCCTTGCATCATGTCATCAGCGACAACAACCAAAGAACAGAAAGCATTCACCCAGTGGACTCTCCCCGCCTCGTGGTACCATTCGACCCAGCTCTATGAAGCGGAACGGCGTGCTATATTCTCCCAGAAATGGCTGCAGATCACCCATGCAAACCGCTTCACCGATCCGGGAGATTTTGCGAGTTATGAAATGGCTGGGTATCCTTTCTTCATCATTAAAGGTCGCAGCGGTGAATTGAGAGCGTTCCACAATGTCTGCCGACATAGGGCTTTTCCTGTTGTGAAAGGGAAGTCCGGGAAGGGTAAGAAGATTCTTTCGTGTGGATATCACGGTAAGTTTTGTTGGCGTACCTTATTAACCCTTATACCCAGGGACTGACAAACACAATCAGGTTGGTCCTACGGCTTGAATGGCAAACTTGCCAAAGCTCCCCGGTTCCAAAATTTACCCGATTTCAATGCGGAAAACTATTCTCTATTCCCCATCCATCTCCATATCGACCGATGCGGCTTTGTCTGGGTAAATCTAGACGCTCAAGACGTCCCGTCCGTGTCATGGGACGAGCAATGCGGGGCAGTCGATGCTCAAGAGCGGCTTGGTGTTTTCGAAATGGAGAAGTATTCGTACCATCACTCATGGGAATTCGAGGCAGAGTACAATTGGAAGACGATGGTTGACAACTACAACGAGGTATGTTACCTTAGAGCCATTTTTAATCCAGCCATCCTCCCAAGTTAGAAAAGAGAAAGAGAAAGCAAAACGTTTCATCGCAAAATAGCACACTCACACAAACCCAACTCTTTCTAACCCATCCAGTGCTACCACTGCCCCGTCGCCCATCCCGGCATCGCGGCAACCACAGACCTAAAAAACTACAGCGTGGCCACTGAACAGGGCTTCATCGCGCACTTCGCGCGCCCCAAGCCCGAATACGCTGCGGATAACAACTCGAACGTGGCCCCGACCTACGTCTTCCCCAGCTCCGCCATCACTATCAACTCCGTCTACCTGTACCTCACGCGCTGCGTGCCGCTGGGCGCCACCAGCGTGCGCATGGAGTACGAAATCTACCGCCACGCCGGGTGCGCGGACGAGGAGTTCGCAGCGATGGACGCATTCATGAAGCAGATCGAAGAGGAGGACCGCGTGCTGTGCTCGCTGGTGCAGGCGAATTTGAACGTGGGCGTGTATCGGAGCGGGCCGCTACATCCGCGTGAGGAGATGGGGGTGGCATATGTGAAGGGCCTGGTCAAGCGAGCCGTCATGGCGCATGTGCAGCGGGAGAAGGAGGCTGGTGTTGAGATATGGCCGGCTGCGGTGGGGAGGGAGGATGGGGCGCCGAACCCGGAGGCCGAGGAAGAAGAGGCGTTTTGTAAAACGCTGTGCAATGGGGGGTCTTTGGAAGAGTTGTCTTGGTAAGACGGGGTGGGGAGTGCGATATTCACCTTCATCCGGGGAGTTAGACGTAGGGATGGCTAGCTATCACCAAGGGTTGTTCTAATTTTAACCGTGGGGGCCTGGATGAATAGCTAAGTCCTGACCCAGGGCTCGATATTTCCCCATGCACAAGGGACACGCAATACTATTTATTGTATCAAGGCCGGTATGACCCGCACAACAAAATGTATTGCCCTTTGATAACCAGTCCAGTATTTTGAGAGCGCATTTGAACATACTGTAGCTACATTTATCTGATCGTGAGTAGTAGTGGGGACTCCGAATCCTCAAACATAGCAGCACACATAAAGTATTAGCTCATTATCGATATGTTTCTATCCGACAGCACGGCTTCTTGTTTTGTACTATACTTTCTCTATGGCTTATTCTCCAGGCAAACCAAAGAAAGGTACATTGCTTAAACATGGGAACTCCTGAATCCATGCCACCCAAGATCCATCCACCCCCCAATCCCCCCTTGGCAATTCCAAACACGGCACCCTCATTACCACCATCACATCACATCACGTCGTATCAAATCACACACATCCAGCACACGCCGCTTCAGCGCTCGCGAGCAACGACCTCGCCCCACGCACAATCTTTCTCTCTCTGTCTCTCTCTCTCCCTCTCTCTGAAAAACCCAGATCAAAGGCCTTAACCTTCCCAAACCACCTGATTGGTCCCCCTTGGCGCAAGCTTGTCGGCGCTCCGGCTTGGCCACCCGTTCGTTCACGATGGATCGAACCCGCAGCGGACTGTGCAAGGGGAGGCTTGCATCCGCGGCTAACGAGCGTGTTTGATTGGGTACGTCACGCTGCCGATGGAACTGTTGGACGTAACTGTGTACTAGTGTGTATGTACGTATGTATGTATGTATGGGGGCGGGCGGGCAGGCGGGAAGGCGGGGTCAGCGGGGTTAGCAGGGTCAGAAGACATCGCTGGGATGTGCTCGGGCTGCAGATGAGGGGCAGTGGCGTTCATGAGGGGCGGCTTTCTGGGCTGGAAAATGGAGGAGGTATTGTTAAGATTGGGTGACGGGGGGAATTCCTTGGGGTTTGGGGTGAAATAATTAATAGATTCCGCTCTGGTATTATGTATTTATATTTACAGACAAAGAGTGTACGGGAGGTATATACAGGTACGGCTGGCTAACGGGAACTGATAGGTCCCCTTCAAACAGGTAAAAGGTGCCGAAAGAAGGGTGGTGGCTAGGTGGATATATACGTATGTTTGTGTGTATATGTGTATGTATGTATTGAGGATATATGTAGTTCGAGGTCAGGACACTCAGAGAAGGCGAAAGACAGGTTAGGTTTTCAAACATGAATATAAAATAAAGAATAGACAAAAAATATATATAAAGAGCAAATAACGCAGAATAATTAAATAGAGCAGGGGAAAAAAATGGTGAGAGGAACCAAAACAGCAGTGGTATCATCGAAGGAAACGAATGCAACCAGGACAACAGTAACAAGCTCTTTTAACAGGAAATATGAAAAAAAAAAAAAAAAGCAAAAACTAAAATAAACGACCAATCCTAATCCACATAGAGAGGAAAACTTCAAAACAGCAAAAATAGACGCGAGTACCACGATGGCTCAAGAGTGTATGCTATCAATTGAATTTGCGAACATGGGATGGACATATATGAGACAGCCAACAGCCAGCTACCAACACAGCACAACGATGAACCAAACACACGGATAACCGGCCCAGATCCAAGCTAGGTTAAAAGAGAGGTAGGAGGAATGAAGGAAGTACCCAGCGAGGGGGTGAGAAGAAGAAAATAATAAAATATATAAACCGATGGACCGGGGCCGAGGAGGGGGAGGGACGGTGGAGGACGGCGATGACGTCCGCGATCTATAAAAAGGAGGGGCGAGTAGAGTGAGGGGAGTTTATCCCACGACACCCATAATCCTAGGAACGAAAACAAAAAAAAATAGGCTCATAACCAAAAATGAAAGGGGGCAGCTAGACGATACAACACCGCGCATTGTGATGGAGCGCGGGCTGCACTTAGCAGATCCCCGCTGCCTGGGCGACGAAGGCAGACTGGTGGGTGTGGGTACGGAGAGGTGTTGTCATTGATATGACGTGGGAGGGTTGGGGAGAAGAGGGAGCGGATGGTTAAATGTTTGCCGGCGAGGCGAGGAAGTATACGATAAGAATGAAGCAGGAGGGTAAGTTGTGAACAAGAAACAAACAAGGATATTCGGTATCGTAGGTTGGCGGAAAGGAGGAAAGGGGGTGTATAAGGAGGCGGAGGGAGAGATGGTGGGAGGGTTGGAAACCGATACCAAATGGGCGAAGGATTTCCACGTCGTGTTGATCGCTTGATGGCCCCCAATATAACCAATCAACACCATTCCAGAGACACCGTTTCAACTCATCATGGCTCCTGACACATACTTATCCACTTCCAAGTTTTCTATAACACACAGATAGAAAAGTGTAATAAGGAAAGAGGCAAAAGGAAAATCAAATAAAATAAAAACTCGTGCTCTTAAAGCGCGGTCGGATGACGCAAGATCTCGTCGCAGTTAGCATCAAAACGCATATCCCACAGCCGAATGCTATTCATCAACTTCTCCGTGTTCTCCAACTCGCGGTCGCGACCAAAGATCGAATCGACAAATTCGCACCCGGCATTGCGACCCATCTGGACGGGCCCTCCCTTGCTGCTCTCCCGCTTCGCAGCCTTCCACATGAAATGTTCACACGCCTTTAGCAATTTCTCGAACCGCTGCCACAGCCTCTCCCCACTGTCCAGGAAGCCTTCCACCATCTCCCGTGCGTCCGTGTTGCGTATTCGCAGCCCGCATTCCTGCGCCCTTTTAAATTTGCCCGCCAGCTTGATAAGAAGAAGCCACAGATCGCCCGCAACGTCAGCCATTGGCGCAGAGGCTCCGTGGTGGAACACCGTCCAGTCGTAAATCCACTTGCCAAGGGAATTGGCATCGAAAACGCTACCGAGGAGGACGATTGGTTCTTCGTTGGGATCCCAGTGCTTTATCGAGTAGCCTTCCGGAATACCCATGCGGATGGCATCTGCCTCGGTGGCTTTGGCGTGTTTTGACGTAGCAGCAGTAGCGGAGGGTTTGGGTTTCTGCGGAGTGCGGGTGGAGGTGGAGGCGCGACGAGCACGGGAGCGTTTGGGAGAGTCCGCTTCATCATAGACGGGAACCTGGTTGCAGGAGAAAGACTGATCAGTGGTTGGCTTTGCCTTACGATAAAAATGATATCCAGCAGCACTCTGTCTAGCAGCCGAAATTTTGGGTTCACCAAAACCACGGCTGGCGCCCCCGGCCGATGTGCCGTGAGGCACAAACGGAGGAGGCACATAGGATGAAGAGTGAGGCGTATCGAAAGCATCGTCAACCACATCGGTGAAGAAGGGTCGTTTCTGCGATCGCCACGTCGAGGTGGGGTGGTAAAAGGGGTCGCCAGTCGGCATGGAGGAGCGGCGACGGGCTGTCCCACTTGTTGCACCGAAGTGGCTTTCGCCATAAGCAGCACTTACTTTTTCGTGCTTTCGCGGAGGCGAGGAATAGCCGTGCACTGAATCATAGTAACCCGCATACCCCTGTGGCATCGACTGCCAACCACCTGCCGGTTCCTTGGCAGCCGAATAGCTGGCACGATAAGAATGCCGCTTGGAACGAGGAGAAGCGTGCGGCGAGGTGTAGTTCGCGGGGTAATAGGGGTAATGAGGGGGCGAAGTGGTCGCATAGTCGTAGGATGACCACCCAGGCGGTGGTTGTGCGGGATATTGATACATTATCGATAGGGAAGCATAGAGACACCGAAAAATTCAAACCGAGCAAATTTTGGAAAAAAAACCCCAAATCAAAATCAAAATCAAACAGATCAACGACGTTTTCGTTTTAAAACGGCCGAGAAAAAGCAAGCCCCTCCCAGGAAAAAAAAAGAAGAGACAAAGAAAGAAATTTATGCCAAAAAAAAAACAGAACGCACAAAAACCACAGAGTATATTGTACAGGATATCGCTCCCAGAAATGACAACAAAGAACAAAACCAGCAAGGAAGTGAAGATGCCCGTCACCGCGGTGAGGTGTCTAGAGGAGGCAAGAGAAAGAGATTTGAGTGATCTTGCCCGTCGTGCATTTGAGCTCTGGCAACGACTCCTGGTCGAGAGAACAAGAGAAGAGAGGCGAGAGTGGAGAGGGAAGATGCTGGATGGAGAGAAATGAATCCAAACAACGGAGCCAGCCACCACAGAGGTTCGAAGGGCGTTGCAAGCTGAAGATTTCGGTGATAACCGTGGGACGACGGCTGGTCAGTCAAGACTCCTCCTCTGATAGCGGGATGGACGTTGGGATGTTGAGAAATGGATGATTGTGCGAAGAGAGGAAAAGCTGGAGGAGGTTGGGGCAGGGACAGGTATTGTATGTATTTAATATTGATAAACTATGACTGTGGGCGGGGGCCAGCAGAAAACTCTGTCTGTGTGTGTGTGTGTGTGTGTGTGTGTCATATACCGTACTGTATAATACCCCCCAGTGTACACACACCACACAAACGGAAGCGAGCGAGCGATTGTAGGATATTAGGATATTACGTGGGACAGCACGGAGTCTTGTTTTGTGGCTTGTGTTGGGGGGATTGGGTTGGGTGATTCGTACCCTCTATACCACCATGGCGCTGGTGGTGATTGAGCTCTTTTGCCCTAGTGGCCTAATAGGTTATGAGCCCGTGTAAGCGCGACTGCTACAGGGTGTGCCAACATGCTATCACAGGTTCGAATCAGACCAAGGCCAGAGGAATATCCCTTACTAATGCACATTCTCTTGCCAAGATGGGGGAGATTGGTGGTTAGGCACCCAGGAAGACCCCAGGCCACCAAGGACCAATGGCAGTAGGGTAGTGGAACTTAGGAAGAGCCAGGTTCCCCCAGCTGGCCGGATGGTAGAGTGGGTCCGAGGGGGGGTGTTGGGGGGATTGGGTTGGGTGATTCGTACCCTCTATACCACCATGGCGCTGGTGGTGATTGAGCTCTTTTGCCCTAGTGGCCTAATAGCTTGGGCCCCAATATCGGCGTGGAGTTTAGAGCCCACGATGCGTGGCCGGTAGCAGGTACCCCCGCCCCTGATTGGCCAGCAACCCCCCTCCACACGGCGAGGACCACCCTGCGCTGACCCATCCCAGCCGCCGATGATTCGTGGGCCGCTGCTGGGACGATACGCCAGCCGTATGTATTGGGCAGGGAAGTTGGGGAGTCAGGGTATTGTTCAGTATCACTCATCGTGACGGTCTGTTTCGTATCCGTATTACTCCCCGTTCAGCTGCCTCGTCCAGGCCACACACATCGAGAGACCAAGAGACCAAGAGTCAAACAAACGCACTTTTCAGACCTCTCAAACGAAATATCAGAGACTTCTGGACGGTGAAGGGCCAAGCAAAAATTATCTCGCCGAGAGTGAGTCTTGGACCCTTGCGTTTGAAAATCTCCATGATGGAAGTAAGCGGAAATCGCTTTGAAAATCTGTTTGTATTACTCATCGGTGCCAGGTTTGACAATTACTAATATATAGGTAGTTAATGACGTCTTTCTCTCTCCTCCCATATTCCTTCGTGCAAACTCCTGATTAGATCCAACGCCAGGTAGGTGGATTCGGATGGATGGCAATGTGCAATGCAAGCAAAGAAACAAACCCGGTGGATTCTAGATGGTTTTTTTTTCCCCCCCAAATAAGAATTACTCCTACAAATATCAGACAGGGAATGGATGGAACCTTGGATTGACAAAAGGGAAAAAAAAAAAACCTTTTCCACGCTAATCTCAAAGTTTACGAAAGCGCGCCTAGTTAACTAGTAATTGTCACCGTCTAGTTTTCCAGGCAACGCTACCATCGTCAGCCCCTGATATCTATCTGTCAAGCAAACCTCCAAGAAAGTTCATATCTTCCTGTCATGGCGTTTCGAAATAAATACGGCTGCCTGGCCCGGGCGGCAGGAAGGTATTCTGAAGGGGAGGAGAGTCAGACACCAGTGATGCATGATGGAGTAGACGGACATCGCCATGATACAGAACCTCAGCAAAAGTGGTCTTGAAAAATATTATTTTGCCCCATTTTTGCTGCGTCTCGTTTTTGACAGTTGCCTAGATCTAGACGCTGGATGGAGAAACGCGGACAAACAGATGACGTAGCATAATCCAACCCAGCTTCGAGATCTGTTTCTCTCCTTCGCTTCTCATCCTCCAAGTCAACTTCCGCCGGCCCCGACTGGATAGCCTGTTTCGCCCGGTTGCGATGACTCCCATCCAGGACATTTCCCGCCAATTTTCGGGGGGGAAAGATTGGATGGACGCAGTTGCTCTTTATTGCCCCATAACTGGTTCCAGCGAACGAAGGATCAAGTAAGAACTCAATCAAGAAAAATTCCGGGCGCAAACGGGGCATTCCGTCTTTTGTTCTTCTATCATCATCCCATACCAAAAGGGCGTTCGTTCACATGATGTGCAGTTTAAACTCTCCAGGAATCACCTCAATGGAAACAACCCCTGGGCGTGCCCGTAACTTTATTGCTTTAAGCTTCCATCGGGCGGACCATCATAGCGATTGTGGGGGTGCCAAAAAACGTGGTGCCAAATTCGGCCGGTTCCAACTTTGACTCATGGCAGCAACCCCATTAAAACTACGACATCAATAACACACTTGTGTCTAATTCTGATTAGGAGTGATTTTTTCATATTTCTCAAACCCCTAACCACATCTATCCCTAATCCTAACCTTCCCCAATTGGTGTATTAGTAATACGTTTAGTGAGCGGTGACTAAAGTTGAACGTGTGTCTGAAAAAGTGGGTCAAATCCTGGCACTACCTGTTGCTCGCTAAGCTAGTTTTATATCCAAACAACGACATTCATTATCGTTCAAGAGATAACTCGAGTATACAAACTACATAATATAAGAAATCTAAATTTTTAAGAAATTTTGAAATATTAATAAACTTTAATTATATCAAAATAGTTTATTATAGTTATTTTCTCCGTCCGTATACTTTCATGCTCAATTGAATAGACCGTTGTGTCTACGTATCTGCATAAAGAAGGTATTTCTTTCATTTTAGTTTTAGTTATAAAATCATTCTCTTGTTAGAAACATATACCTTTAGATAGTGAAATGAGCTATGGGTAATTCTATGAGTACTAGTATCTGCTGTATTTGAATACGGTGAATGACCATCTACATCTATAAAGCATGATTCGGTAGTAAGCTCTGTAAGTAACTGAGCTGCAGAAATACTCAAATTTTATAAAATAATAAGTATAGAAAATTAACAAGGTACTCAAGAGTGAGCAAGGCAAGGAGCTCGCTGACAGTCCAGTTGTGTACAGACCTGGCGGCTTTTCTTTAATGAAGGGTGCGCTGTTTCTAAGGGAGCTAGATTTGAGAGACAGTGACTGTTTGATATGAGAGAGAGTATTCACTGTCTAACAGAGTAGTCGCCTTTACAGGGCATCCTTCAGCAGTTTACGCCGATGTGTGCACTTGAAGAATATAAGGCCTAGACAGCCTGGAAGGCAGAGGGCATGCTGAGTTAAAGTTAAAATACAGTTATGGAACGGCCTCCAACATCCTTCTAATTTTTGATATGAACCTGCAGCGCAGCCCAAGACCCACCGGCTAAAAGAAACAGAAGAATTTCAGTGAGAAGTGCCAGAATACAGGTCAATGATATGCCTAAGGCGCCTAGGCATCCTCCCCGGATTTGACTATATGGAGTATCGGCTCCAATAACAGATGCCAATGGGTTACATGGGGGTCGTGGTTGCAACTACTGTCGTTATTGAGTATAACTATTGGGCAGGAGTCCTGAACCATGGGTATAGCTCGATCACTCGGTGTGGGCCTGGTGGTTATGTAGCTCCGTCGGGATTGAGAACTTGAGGTCTAATCTATTACAGTTAAGTCCGCCTCTTAGGGTTCAGGAGTAGTTAGTGACAGGAGAGAGCCACTAAGCTCAGAAGAGCACAACACACCTCACAGGGTCTAGTAAAGATAGGATACCACTTCGAATAACCGCCCAGATGTTATTGCACATGACTAGTGGTCAAACCTGCTTGAAGCCCGTTCTGGTTTAACTATTACAATTGTCAACATTGATTGCACAAGTTTACCCACAGGTGCTAACCCATCACAATATGATTGTTACAGTTTATAAACACATTTGAAAGATTGAAACATGTGTAAAATTATAAGCTATGAGACATTTGTCACTATAGTCCTTCATCATTAGCTTATTACCTAATGAAGCGAGAAAGAATTTGATTCTTGAATGTGGGTATAAAAACGTTGAACATGGTTGGAAAAAAAAAATCAAACTTTTAACCCACGCTTAGTTTCTCCAACTCGCTCACACTCAACTATCTGAACAACGGAGTTCAAGATTAGAATTAAAGGTTAAAGTTAGTGATTGAAGATCAGAAGTTCGAATTAGATTAGCTTAGAGTTAGTTGAAAAATTAGTTAGTATTTGAAAAATATACTTTAAATCAAATGCATTGTAAGTGTTTAAATGTGGGGTTTGAATAACGTTTTATAAGAGATAACTATTTGATTAAAATTTCTGAACTATAAAGGATTTTCCAACCGAGATCTAGAACCACGTTCAACTTTTTTAAAAGCATATTCAAGTGTATGCCCTTGATCTCATACAAGCTTGCGCAACTACTAACTAGTCTATTCAAATGTTATAGTATGATGTATCCTTCTTGAGTTTCAAACTGATACTTCTCTGATAGTGACATCATTATCTTAGCCGCTGAGATAATTGATGAAAAGAACATATAAGTGAATAAAATCTACCTTTTATAACTAAAGGATATTAATATTACTATATATATTCAAGATTTTTTAAAGATAATTGTAGCAATTAAATATAAATTGCGAACCAATAATACATTAATTATGAAGCTTACTTTACTTTTCCCTCAACTTATATTTGCTACAATAATACAATATGTATCAGCAAAAGTAAGGTTATCATTTTTATTTTATTTTACTATTGATGGAGGTGGAAGGTTAGTTGATTGTATCTCGCGGGCGTAGGACTGCTTATACAAGAGTGGTCACGTGTCATTCTAGCGAGCAATAGGGATGCCAAAATACATCAATTTTTATATAGTTACTAAGAATGATTTGAAAGTTACTAATAAATAAATTATAGGTATCATTATTAAACTTAAATGATAATATTCCACAAGATATATCTACACCTAACTCGATATTAGACAGCAGATTCATTAGGTGTCAAGATCTTCCCTGCACTAGTTCAGGATATTGTTTCAACTCTCATTGTGGTCCTTGTGTACACTGGCCTGATGAAAATATACCATTTTGTACTCCTGATCATTAAATAGTTATTACAATAACATTACTAAATGTTGTCATTCAATTAATTACCGCGGTCTCGTCTCCAAAATGATCTTTAAATATAATAGATCTTAAATATTCATCTTTAAAAGGCAAATTATACTGGTTAAACCATATGGGCTTTTGATTATGCGGAACTAAAAGGTCATACGCAAGAACAGAGGCGATATTGAAGCCGGTACCTTGTATATAGTTAAACGTCTCAAGGGACGTTAGGCCCACCAAACCTCAGCATGACGATTTCGGGGATTGATAATTAAACCGCTTACCCGACAATTGACACCACCGTTAAATGACTGATCTTTCAGAGGGGATAGTTAGTGTACGGCGTACTTAGAATTCCAAAGTAGTTTGAAGGGTTTTTATAAAATTTCAAATAATATATTTACTAAATCTTTATTACAATAAAGATCTCTAGCTAGCTAGCTGCCTATTCGCTTGATATTCAAGATTGCTGAAAGAATAGATATTGCTAGCTCTCTAAATGCGTATACTCATGGCTCTGGGACCCCCTCTAATCAATAGAGTTTTAACAGTGGTATTCAATATTGCCAGAAATTGAACTTATGACCCTCATGTTACTGGCGGCAGCTGTAATGATTAAATCAAGCATGGTCCAATCAAAAAAATGACATACACAACAACAGCCGCCGCTGTTGTTGGAGCCCGTACTATATATATAGTAAACCCGTCAGAGGATGCCTAGGCTTCCAACCTAGACATTACACAGTTGCAGAAGCTTCAGCTTTATTTTGATTATCTTCTAGTATCTCAATAGTTTGATCTTAATAAGTCAAATATAGCATTATATTGCGTTGATTTCGATCATTCCCTTATAAGAACCCTTTCGTACAACCCCTTCTTCTGATACCTTCTCCTTTTTCCTTCTCAATCAATTCGTCATCTGTATATAGGATAGCACTGGAGCCGCCAATCGGCAGTACATCCTTTACAAAAACATCTGAATTCAAATAGTAGATAAGTTGATTGTCATAAATATAGATTGATATAATCTCCAAGACAAGGTAGATTAAGCCGGGCTCAATAAACTATAAAACAAACAAGGTTCAATCTGTTGGCATCCCTGTCGCCTTCTAGAAGACCACGTGCTACACTTCCTAGTACGGACTAGTGTGTCACACAGCGAAGATAAGCCCAACACAACCCACTTAGGCGTCCAACCTTTAAGCAGTGCTGCACCTGCTCGATAGTTACAATGAATTAGCCTTCCGCCTCCATCACAATCTTTATTACATGATAGGATAGTGATAAATTATAAGTTAGCTAGAGCTCTGATTATCTATCTATCTAGAACAGGGGTTCTATCACTAATTTATATATTGATGGATTGATATTTTTTTAACTTCTAAATAGGTGCTGATTTTGGTGGTGGATTCGGTGGAGATTTTTAGCTTCCTAAACTTGGATGTTCCACAGATTATATAAGGGACCTTCTCCGTCTTGAAGACCGCTGCGTATGGGCAGCTAACCGCCGTTGAGTTAAGGATCCTTCCTTTTACCCAGCTGGTTTCAACGCAGGATAGGGTGATTTATCACTGTCACTGTGACCAAACTGTGATTGCGATGACTGCGCACTCCCCCCCTCCAAAAGGACGATACGGGAAGTAAATTATGTAGCAGACATGACAAGGGCGGCGGCAAGTTCCATATGGACATGCTTCTTTCTATAGTATTATTGGATCTTCTCTTTCACCAATGATAATTTCTCCTGTGAGGGTCATTAGGGATTCGGGTGAAGAAAAGGAGTCATCATCGATGAAGCATTGCTGAGATGGCCTCTCTTGTTGACGGAAATCTGATGGACGGAATGAGATAGGATAGATTCCCAACGACCCCTGTGTTATTTCCACAAAACCGCTCGAATGAATCAGACGAGTCATGATTAATCCCCACGTAATATTGAATAAATTTCGTGGATATCGAGTTATATCGCGATGGAACGATGGAGCGATCTAGGATTCAGGAGATCAGATGATCAGGAAGTCGGCGCATAACTTGGAGATTGGGCACGAGATATCGGGCGCTCTCTGGCTCGAGTATAACATGCCTTGCAGAAAAGAGGTTGCCTTCATGATGAAAGGCAGGAAGGGTGGTTGTGATTGAAACATCCAACCCACGACCACACCTCCTTGGACATTTTCGAGATATTCGCCACCCAACTCCAAACCATCCCAGCTAGCTTTTCTCGAATGGCTACCTTCGTAACTCCACTTAAAGTCACAGCTCTCTAGCAGCTCTAAATCTAATATCCACTGGGCGAGTCCATTACCAACGTTACGAAAAGCCGCAAAGTATGCCGGGAAACTCAGGAGTGTTAAAATTAAAAAAAAGAAGTTGCCTTGTTCCTTTTCTTTTTGCCATTTCTATTCAGCTTGCCTCATACCCACTGAAAGTTGAGATTGGATTCGGCAAAGTTCTATTTGTTTATTACTATTTCTAGTTCATTGCATCCCCTTGGGTAATATGTTCTGGGAACAAACCCACTCCACAAGCTTTTCATGAGCCCAAGAACGCAGAATCTCTAAAGAGAGATATAACAGGCAGAGATTCTAAATCAGTATGAGCCTTGGAGGTCTATGTCTAGCTTCCGCTGTCCAATAATACCCAATCAGAGGGAATACATGAGACAGAAGAGTTGCCCCAGCAGCAACATATTCAAACGGCCACAATAGAAAAAGAAAAAAAAAAAAACAAGTGATAGAAAATGTATTACACATACGGCTACCGTATCGCAATATCCAACTGAAACTCGTTTCGGAGAATAAAAGAGCATTGCAGCCCAGCATGATTGACAAAAGAAACAATGGCAGCCTTATTGGGCAGCAAGCGCTGCGTACAACTCATTCTGCGGGGAGGCTTGGGGGAGATACATAGAATCAACAAGGCTGAGTGAACGCAAGCTCACCAACGAAGCCTATTCATTTCTTCAGAGGGGACGGTGAATTGCTGCTGCAACATCAACAGCAGCAATTAAATACAATACGCTAGAGCAGCGGCGGAATGAAGATTTTCTTTTTTTTTCCTTCATTTTTTCTTCTGCTTTCATTTCATTTCTTTTTGATTTTCCTTTTCATACCATGAAGAATCAAACGGCGCGGGGCGCGCCCAATCACCTGTTGGGCAGACCGCAAGTTTCAAAATGATGACCATTAGACGGAGGGGCATATCGGAGAACAAGTCGAGGCTTTTCGACAAAAGACGGTGAGAGGGGTTATGTGGGGTAAACATTCCTTAGTGGACATGCGAGAGAGAGGGAGAGGGAGTTAGAAACAATGAATATTGGGATAAATGGCTTTGTCCTTGGTACATAGAGAAAATGCATTGTTATCAAGGGCAAAGCGAAAAGGACCATCTGAACATCTCTCACTTCACAGTGTATGGGGATAACTGACTAGTAAGCTATGTACCGTATGGATTTTTGTCACCCTCAATCCTCGCTTGACCAATCTCGGACACGGGCCATATTGCCACATCGATTTTCGCCCCCCCCTTAACAGCGCAAATCGACACACGCACCTCAGTTGAAACAGTATAACATTATTGTCGTTAGTTAGCGGAATGCTTGAATGCCACCAGCAAGGAATGACGAGCCATACATAGTTGACTATCGATCTAACTTGTTGCCGATGAAGCAGAAACAAGGGTGTTTCGTTCAAAGAGTGCAACCCCCAGGTCGACCGGGATTTTCCTGTCAAGGTGTGCGACAATACTAAAATACGCCGTTACACCCTAATACCATCCCATACGCCGTATGGACATTTGAAATCAGGTATTTTAGGATCTCCAATCCTGGTCGTTGATCGCTAGATGTTGGGTATCTGCGCAGCGCAGAATAAGAATTAAAAGCAGAAAGAAAAGGAAAAAGAAATAAGAAAGGGAAGGAAGAAGATGCTCCCGCTCGAGCGTGCATGAAATTTTATCCTGTAAAGAAGCATCTGCAACTGCGTAGACATACGAAGGGGTATCGAGAGGTGTCACTGTGTGCTGTTCCTCTTCCTGTCGCCTGCGATGCTGGAGCAAGACCCCTGTGCTCGTTTGTCCCGCGTGCGAACGGCCCAGCGGGTTGAGACAGGGAAGGGAAATGCGCAGGGATGAACACCACCACCTCCACCACCCGCCAGAGGCATGTAAAACGCAAACACACAAAGATGGCGGGAACTATTCCCAAGAATCATCCCCCGAAGTTGACCAAGTCCGTGCGTATGGAAGATTTAGCTTCGGCGGCGGGTTTTGGACCCAATCCCGTCCTGGCCGACTAACGCTCTAACCCACGGATTAGGCCTTTATAGCGCCTGCGCCAACTCAGCAGACGTTTTAGTGTGTTCCTTTGGAAGCAATCGAGACCCAAGTGATTGGTGTGCCTCCAAGAGAAAAAGCAAGCAAGCAGCGAGATGCGGTCTGTGGATGAGCCATCTTTCATTTCTCTCTCTCGTTTGTCATGCTTGTTATTATTTGCCTTTCGTGTACTGGAAAGTATTGGATTTGCATGGGTAACAGGAACATGGAGTCATCAACGAACGATTATGAAAGTGCCGCATACTGCTGATGCCGTTTTGGTGCGATGCAACGAACCCATTTTGGCGCCATTCTTTTTTCTTTCTCCCGTATTTCTGGGGAGCCAAATAATTGCTTTTTTTCCTGTTGTTCCCTTGCTCTCTGATTTCCTCCCTGGAATCTGGATTTTCATGTTCGATCATGTTTTGTGGGCGCTAAATGTCTTTGCTCATTAACCGCTATTACATAACTAGCCCTAATCTGATCAGATCTGATCTGATATGCCACTCACCAAGCATCCTCTGTATTTGCCAGCAACTTGACAAGTTTGAAGTCAGGGTTTGCGGTTCGAGTCCACCATATTCGCCGCAGTTGCTCTTTGCGCCGGCGTTTGTGATGGAGCTGCTGCGGCTTGCAGAACGCAATGGAACAAAGGCGCACCTAAGCGCGCTCTGCAAGTATGGAGTATCAATTGCCCTTTATGTTTTCGTCGGATGCGCATGGCCTAACTAAACCCGGCCACGTCCATGCCAGTGGAGAACGATAATTCACGAGTTGGAACCTTGGCGGCGCTTTTTTTTTTTTCGTCCTTCCCCCCTCCCTGGTTAAACCCGGGCCAGGGGAATATGGTGATAACATCGCACGTACCCGACGGAGGGGCCGCGCCAACAACCAATAGAGCCAAAAGAGAGAAATCAAGAAGGGGAAATTCAGCGAATTGGTTCAAGCGATCTGGCTCCAGCTGTCCACTGTGCTGTTCATCTTGGTCGGCTGACATGCTCCCGCTAGAATCTTAGGGCGGTTGCAGAGCCAGCCAGAAGATATTATTATCCTGCACGCCGTCACCGGCTGCAACCGGCCGGGATGAGGACATGGCAGGATCCATCCGGGGCTAATTGGCCATTGCATCTTTCTATCGATTAACTGATTGAGGGGCGATACATTCATCGGCTATGTGTGGGTTGAGAACTTTGGATCCCCTTCGCTCTTGGCGTGAGCATCTTCCCCGCCGTTGTTTTTCTATATTGCTTGATAATTGCGTCATCGCTCGCTGCTCGCTCAATCGAACTCTTTTTCTGTAGGATTCTGGTCAGCCGGTCACTCATTTGTTGCTCGCAGGGCTCTTTCTGTGGGGGGTTAGCAGTTCAACAACTCTTCGCTCCTTTTCGATGGCTGATGGTCGCTGTCAGCAAAATCTGTGCAAAACCTTCAAAGCTACTCCGTACATTGATCACGGAATCAATTCAGCCGAGGCTTTGGTTGCTGGGCAAATAAATAAATTAAATAAAACAAAGGATGTCAACAACAGTGTCCTTCCTACCAGAAATTCGGTTACTTCTGTTTGAGAGAGGATCCTACCTGTGAATGAACCGATAGATTTGACTTTTTTCCAACAAAGTTTGCCCGGACGACGACGGAGCTTCTCTCTAATTCTCCCGTTTACCCAACTCTACAACTGTACGGCAATTACATTGAGGACTTCGACAGTTCATTTTATATGCAGATTGACGGGATCCTTCACATCTACGGATCATGAAATCGGTTAAGCCAGGCAGCCATGCACGGGTTCGATTCTCGTTTTTCGAGGGGAGCGGACCTTGTTTCTCGTCAAAGTCCCTTGAATATTCACCACATGCCCTAAATTTGTACTGTACAAGAGAAGGAAGAGGCCTTGACTGTACGGTATGCATTCATTATCGACCACTGCTATTGTTTATATTTATCTATTTTGCCTGATATTTTCCCCGATGGAATCTCTTTTTCCATGGATTTTCCGACACCGTCGACACGCTTCATTCAATGTATAACTATATCGTAGTGCATCTGGCGTGATAAGCATAGTGTCCCATTTAACTGCTCTTCCCTGTTCGGCTGAACACCCACCGTGCCTCCCTCATTACTCACAACAGAGCTGAAGCGGTGAACGACTTCCCCAAAGGGTCACTGTAGTTAGGTGGGCAGTGGGGTCGGGCAGACCATACACTGCTTGTCGATAATTACTCTTACTGACGCTCTTGGTATTGATGTTCTTTGCTCGGCCGCGTAATCCGCATCGAGTGTTGATATTGGTTCTTCTGATCGGCATTATACATTATAGGGCAATGGTGGTGGGTGGGAATTATACCGACTAGGACATGTCAAACCTTTCCGAAGGTCCATCGAATGGCTGACCGCGGAAATCCGGAGCGGGCCTTGGAAACGTTGACTCAAAGCCGTAATCATTCAATGCGGCGTCGCGGTATCGATTGATCACCATTAAGTCATAGAGCAATAAAGGAGGAGAGGATAATTTAAACCCAGGCATTCCCATCCTTCATAATACTGCGGCTGTCAAACTTGGGCCCGTTTTAACCCCATTCCCGCTCCAGAAAAACCAAATGGTTGAAATGGTAAACTTCAAAGTGGCAACAATCCATAGGGAGGGTGAAACCCGCCCTGTGCTTTTGGAAAGGGAGCCGCCAATAACTGAACCGCCGATGACGCCAACAATGGCAGTAAGGCGTTGGTTAGCCTTTCTGTTTCGGATAAAGGGCCTAAAGATCCCAGGCTCAGAAACCAGGTCGTAATAGAGGCTTGTCAGCACGGTTGTTGGGATCTCAGAAAACCCCAGCTGTCGGCTTGCCGCCATTTGGCCAGCACTTTGGAATGCAACTAAGGACAATGGTATGAGTTTTAGGAAAACATGGTGGTCCGTAACCTCGCCGGAATCTTCGATTAGACCGGACTGCAGTAGGGATGCTGCTACGATGACTAGGAGTGTTTGAGAACCAAAATTAATGAGCATGGTACGTCTAGTTTGAGGTCCAAAATGTTGGGTTTTGGAGAATGCCACACCCCCGGCGAGGAAAGAGAGAATAGAAACAAGGGCCTTAAGCCAATGGTATGTCGTTTGGTCAAGAGCGTCGGATGCTCCCAATCCGAGAAAAATGGTGTTTCCTAGCGGTTGTGGTGATTAATGACACAGCTTTGCCCCATATTTGAACTCACAGATGTATGTGGATAAGAAGGGGCGTTGAGATATCTCACCAGTCTGCATGCTAACAAAGCAACCCCAGGCTCTGTAGGCAGCGCTGTCACTGAGACCCGACAGGAAATAACAGACCAGAAATATTAGGTCCGCGTGCTCTGTATTGACATCCTGAGCTAAATAGCGCACGATCCACGGCCTTCTATCTATAATACCAAGCGGTGGTTGCAGGTTTGCTTCCACATCCCCAAGCTCCTCGCCATTGATAGCCCGAGACGAATCCTCTTCTGGGTGTGGATCGCCTGCCATTGTGATACGTATGGTTTGATTTGTCGTACAGGGCGTTTCTCCTGAACAGCCAGGGAACAGAGGAAGCAATTTCAAAGCAATTTACTTGATGAGAAACAAGCAGCTGGCCATAGGATTCTGCTTTGACTCAAGCGCGTTTGCCCGTACTATTGATCGGGATGCGATGTGGGGAGTCTGATTTTGATCACAGCACGGAACGACCATTGCCGTGGCGATGTCGCCTGGGCGTACCTTATTCGCCATTTCTACTATCGTGAATGTTGTTTTTGTTGTTGTTTCTATCCTCGGCAGCGATCTCAGGGGAAGGAGACGACGGAGAAGATCATGTGACCTCCCCTTTTTTTGATTTTTCGACATGAAAACGTCGAACACATTATATCGTCTCCTGGAATCTGATATTTGCTGGAATAGAATTGATGGCACTTAACGCCAGATCCGCATATTCGAGGACGACATGCAAAATTTTGGAACAACAATAACGATAGCCGCGCGCTCTACTCTCCTTCGAATCCAATTTATAGAACCACATCAGGTCAAAGTCATTGGAAACTGAATACTTTTACCATCAAGATACGTATCTGTGTTGCACTCCGTGAGGGACAGCTGTTTCAGGAGGGTTGACATTTCGTATTCTGTTCTATCTCCGCTGTCGCTTGTCCATTTTTGAAAGAAGGGCAAATGGGCGACTATAAGCGAAGACTGCAGCTGATATACGCCATAAAAATGAATCGCTGCCATACACAATAGCAGCATGTTTATTGTTTCTTTCTTTCTTTTCAAGAAGATTTAGGCCTCTTTGTCTTAATCGTGGGGTTTTGTTGGAGGCAACCGTCCTAACATACTGTGGTGTTTGCCAAGCGCCTTTGCTAAACCAGAATCAATGATGATTTTTTTCGTTCTATGAAGTAAGTGGTTTCATGTTAGAGCTGTATCTAGCATTAAAAAAAACATCGAGTATACGTAATACGGTTGCGGAGGATATGTGGCATGGGCAGTTTATCACTCACTACATTGTTTTTTATATCGCCTTCTCGCGTCGCAGGTCAGCCAACTCTTCGTTCGAAAAACCAAGTCCTCGAAGCACATCATCTGTATGCTCTCCCAGAAGAGGGGGGTTGTTCCGAATTGAGGCTTCGGTGTTGCTAAATTTAACAGGGAAGCCTATTTCATATGCCATTTGATAGATTAATATCAAGCTTGGGACGGGTGATTAACCGTGGGGGAATACATTTACCTGTGACCTTGAAACGGCCGCCAACCGCAGCATCGAAATCTATAGATTGGACCATGTCTCTAGCCTGAGCTTGGGTATGGGTAAATGCCTTCTCTAAGTTGTTAATTGGGCCGGCCCCGCGTCGGCTCCCGGCCGAGCATCGATCCCACGCCAAACTGGGCCGATGCCGACTCGGCATTGAAAAGGTACTGCACATGAGGTGTGCAGCCGAGCGCAAGTTGATAAATTTGCTTCACAGGGATAAAGTAGTGAGTGGTAAACACCGCCGTTCTGTCAATGACACTTTCATCTTTACGTCTTCCCTCTTCTCCCACGATAGCTTTTCGCCCTGCAATCCGACACAAGCTGGTCAGAGAACCCGTTTTATCTACCTGCGTTAATATCTCATTAACTAATTTGGCTAGATCCCAGGGAGGTGTGTGTGCCGCCCGAAATACATACATCCATTTCTATCGCCGCGTGTCGGCCATAGATCACTCCATGCCAGAGCAACAGAGTACCTGCAACCCTATGACCTGATTGGACCGAGTCACAACGCACAATCCGCGAATCGATAGCTAAAGTATGCTCGAAATTCCCTGATGAGTACTGGCTGAATGCTGAGGAATCGAAGCGCTATCCCCTCGATTTCCAATCTGCGCTGGCCAAGGATGGCTGGCGGGGCATCTGCATGCCCACAAAATATGGCGGGTCTCGATTGGGCATTTCAGAAGCCGCGGTAATGATGCAGATCATATCCGAGTCGGGGGCTGGCATGGCCGGCGCGTCATCTGTGCCTATGAATATTTTTGGCCTGGAACCGGTTGTGAAGTTTGGCAATGCAGAACAAAAGCGACGGTTCCTGATACCGCTGGTCCAAGGCCGGGAGCGCGCCTGCTTTGGCGTTACGGAGCCAAATACGGGGCTTGACACGCTGAAACTGCGGTCAATGGCTACGCGAAACGGTGAACACTATATCCTCAAGGGCTCGAAGATCTGGATATCTGCGGCCCAGCACGCGGAAAGGATTTTAATCCTCGTCCGGACGACTCCATTGGACAAAGTTACAAAACCATCACAGGGCCTGTCGCTCTTCTACACGGACCTCGATCGGTCGCAGGTAGATGTGTCCGAGATCCCTAAGATGGGCCGTGCGGCGGTCGACAGCAATACCCTCTTCTTCGAGAATTGGAATGTCCCCGCGGCAGATATGATAGGCGAGGAGAACAACGGGTTTAAAATGATAATCCACGACATGAATGCGGAGCGCATCTTGATTGCAGCGGAGGCTCTAGGGCTAGGCTACGCGGCGCTGCGACGCGCGGCAAAATACGCAAACGAGCGACAGGTGTTCGGGAGACCGATTGGGCAAAGCCAGGGCATTCAACATCCACTCGCTGACTCGTGGATGAACCTGGAAGCTGCGCGGTTGATGGTCTATCAGGCGGCCAGGATGTATGATGCGGGCTACACGTCGGGGGAATACGCAAATGCGACCAAATACCTCGCTGCCGAAGCAGCATTTAGGGCATGTGAGAGAGCAGTGATGAGCCATGGCGGGATGGGATACGCGGGGGAGTATCACGTCGAGAGATATTTGAGGGAGGCTTTTATTCCGCGCATTGCCCCTGTTAGTCGCGAGATGATTTGCAGTTATATTGGTGAGAGAGTGCTTGGACTGCCGAAGTCGTACTGACATGATTGGTTGACTGGGGAGTATGGATAGATGCGGGGAGTCCACGGTGCCATTTTGGATTTGGCTAAAGGAGAACAAAGACACTTTGTACGAAATCAACTTGTGCGTGCATAGAATTGAAACGTGTAATGAATTGAAATGTTTAATGTTCAATGTTCAATGTCCTCTACCTTCATGAACCGTGCTGCCCAGCGAATTGAGACCAATGAGCTACCGGGGTCCGGGGTCGAGAGACGAAGAAACCATCACTAGCAAAATGAGATTGTCATCCAGCACCCACATTCGCTCGATTATCCCTTCTATGACAATCTCCAGACTTTCCTCTTTGCAGCCAAGAGCAATTACCTTCTCAAGAAACCGCAAATCGATGCTCCACCCCAGGCAGCTGGGAAAGGGTTCGCAAAAGTGGGTAACTAGACTTGAGATCAAGAGTGGGAGAAGGCGGAGGAAGGCCAAGGATGGAGGACGGGAGGTTAGAACAAGCTAAACAGATCCCTTCGCCTGGCAGCTCGCGGCAGCCCAAGTGGCATGTTGTGGCTTCAGCCAGAACCGGGGTTCGCCAGGCCCATAGCTCCAATGTGCCAGGTATCCAACGTTGCCGAAATGATGTACTAAATGAAAGGGGGGTGCATTAGTATTAGGAACATGGAAAATATCAGAGAAAAAAGCACAAAAAGAACAATGTCAACTTGATATCAAGTCTTGAGTTAGGGCTGAAACATTGAGCTCTATGTCAATCTCATCAAACAGCCCATTAGTGTGCGGACCTCCTGCATCTTCACGTCCCGATGAGCTGGCTCAGCACGACTGTGGCTCCGGAACAGAAGAGCTCTGCCATGCTTCAACTGGCACGGAAGCGCCTTTGTTCGTAGAGTAGCTCCTTAGTTAGCTCTTCTTCCCCGCACTCTCTAGCTCCAATGAGAGCAACTTGGGCAACTTGAGCAGCCAAGTAGATATCCTGTTGCGAGTGGAGCCGAAAGGAGCCCGCGAGAATTGGGGGATATCTTGGAGAGTTACCCCACTCCTGCAGACCCCAAGGCTGACAGACAATCGATGTTTGCGCAGGAGATAGAAACGATGAAGGCTCCGAATCCACGAACTGGTGGGAGCCATTCCCTGCGAAATCCATGCATGCTCTAAGGATCGGTGATGCTGAGTCCTCCTCTTCCTCTTCCTCTTTCTTGCTTCCTCACTCGCTGTCGAGAGCCGAGGAGGGCACAAACAGAAAATGGGGTTTCCATGGTGCTCCAATGTGTAGTGTTATCCACCCATTTAGTTAACCACCCCGTCGGATAAACCTCCACCTTTCATCATACATACATCTCTCCTCCGTAGATTAGATTCCAAGCCCAGCGCCCGTTCACTTGGATCATTGTCAGCGTAAGCGTGGTGCACCGCTTTCCCCAGCCTACATGTGTCGTCGATCAAGCGCGGTCTTCTTGCAGCTCAGGCGGAGGTTGCTCTGAGGGTGCTCCATCCGCGCAGCTTCGCTTTTATGAGCAGCCATCTCCCCCGTATCTCCCATCCTTTTATCATTCTCCGCCCTCCCTCGTCTGCCATCCCTCAATGATCTGATCTTCGCCTTTGTGTCAACTCTCCTGCAGACTGCCCAGTATCTAACCAAAACTTGGGGCGCAAAGCCGTTCGATATGGACGAAAAAGCGATTAGCCCACCGCCATCGTCAACCTCGAAAAAGGATGCATCTGACAATGAGGCGGTTGAGATTGATCCCGTCAAAGTAAAGGCCCTGGTGAGGAAGGTGGACCGTCATATTGTGCCTTTCTTGGTCCTGCTGTATCTCTTTAGCTTTTTGGATCGAGGTAAATTTCCTAACGCCCCAATAGCCTGTTTGCGCCACATCGATGCATGTAAATACTAGTACTGACGGTCGTCGTGCAATAGTGAATATCGGCAATGCGCGTCTCTACGATATGGAATCGGACCTAGGTCTCGCTGGCAATCAATACCAGATCGCAGTCTCGATTTTATTTATACCTTACTGTGTTCGCTTCCCCGAAACCCCTTCCTCCGGCCCAAAGCTTAAAAAAAAAAGTAGCCCCTCGCCTACATCAAACTTAACTAACTCTTTCATTCACCTTGCCAGCTTCTGGAAGTGCCGTCCAACCTCGTAATCCGAAAATTCACAGCGTCTCGCTACATTTCCTTTATCGCAGTGTCGTGGGGAATCATTGCCACCTTGACGGGAATTGTTCAAAATTTCGCCGGTCTAATAGTATGCCGCTTCCTCCTAGGATGTGTGGAAGCTGGCTTATTCCCTGGCCTGGTTGCCTACATGACACTGTTCTACGGGAAACGTGAGATCGCGCTGCGAGTGGGTTATCTATTCAGCGCTGCCGCGCTCGCTGGGGCCTGCGGTGGGTTGCTCGCCTACGCCATTGGCTTCATGGGCGGAATTGCTGGGCAAAAGGGCTGGCGCTGGATTCTAATCATCGAGGGCATCCCTTCAGTCCTCATCGGTGTTGCGACGTGGTTTGGCCTCGCCGATGATCCGGACACTGCCTACTATCTCAACGCGGAAGAGAGAGCCCTCATGCGGGCTTGCCGCAATACGGAAATTGGCCAAACCGACTCGGCGCAGCAGTTCCATATCGAGGATGCCAAAGAGGGTGCAAAAGACTGGACCATCTGGCTCATGTGTCTTAGTCAGTTTGGCGTCGACACCGTGCTGTACGGATATAGCACATTCCTGCCCACCATCATCAAGGGTATCGGGACGTGGACGGCCCCGCAGGTCCAGGCGCTGACTATTCCTTGCTACGCCTTGGGCGCCATTACTTACCTCGTTATCGCCTGGTTTAGCGACCGCATGCAGCGTCGTGCGGTCTTCACAGTTGCATTTTGTATCATTACTATCATCGGCTATGCGGTGCTAATGTCAGACAGCAATTCCAGCGTCCATTACTTCGGCTGCTTCCTCGTCGCGGTTGGGTTGTATGTCTGCGTTGGCCTGCCGCTCGCCTGGCTGCCGACGAATCTCCCGCGGTTCGGCAAGAGAACGTTCGCGACTGGCCTCCAGCTTACAATGGGGAATGTCAGTGGCATCATGACGCCGTTTTTGTACGTCACCAAGGACGGCCCACGCTACATCAAGGGCCATGCAGTAACCCTCGCTCTTACTGGATTTTCGGCGGTGATCTATACGTTTATGTGGTTCCATTACAAACGGATCAACAAAGCGCGCTCTGCGGGCTTGGAAGATTACAAGATTGAGGGGATGACGGAGGAAGAAATTGCTGAGATGGGTGATCGTAATCCTAGGTTCCGCTATGTTACCTAGCGGGTTGTGTGTACATTTTCTGTTGCTCTATTTTCTTTACATCTTTCCTTTTCCTATATATTCTTTTGTTTGGCTCCTCAATACTTCCCAAGCTGCACTAGCTGGTACTTAGTAATTATTTGTTAGACCCTTTGCTCACAGTAGTTACTACTTTCGTATTGCCTGCTCGGAAAGTGTGTTTATGGGCATATAGATGAACATATATACAAGGAAATCCCACTAGAGTCACGGTCAGGGTTTATATCACAGCCTAAGAATTACTCAGATCAAACGAATTTTTTTTTATAGTATTCATAGCATTATATCATTATCACGTTTATCTTAAAGTCTTCCCAACCAACAGGGAAGAAACATGACGATATGCTTCCATACGAAGTAGAAATCGGTAAACTTTAGAGTCCCATCTCATCTCCACCACAATTGGTGTCGGAATACAGCGCCTGCGCAAACCGTTGGTTTCTCCTCTCTATTAAGGTGATCGATATAAACAGTGAAAACTTATCCTCCGCTCGACGCTTGAGCAAATCGTGCCTAGCATCATCGACCGTGGGCGATCTTGTCGTGACGCAACTTGGATCGCTATAGCACCTCCATTGCTTGACCGGTTTCAAACCTTCATCCAAGTCCCTCCCTCGGGGGTAGCATTCTCAAGACAAACCCCATTCCCCCATTTCTGGAACTCTGCGCGGGTGGCTGGCCACTTCCAAGTGCCAAGGCACCTCCATGGCTTTTAACTCGGGCTTTGTTGGTTAGTTATCGACAACAGATCTTGTTTCAAGCGCTGTTCGATTATCAATTAAAATGTGATTGAACGCGGGGTCTCAACATCTCAGTGCCCACCGGGAGAGGGGCGTTGGTTGTGGGATTAGCTGGTCAGATGAACAGTTTCGTCCGTAGATTCTATTCCCAGTTAGTATCAAACGGAGGGTAATCTGGTGTTCCAAATAGAATAGTAGTAGATTTTTGATCGCTAGCTAGAGCTCTGGTATTTTTCCACAATTAGAGGATTCTTACAGCTTTATATAACCATGAGATTTCTATTAGTCTGCATCTCTATCTAATACAAATTCTGTAGAATTATGGCTATTCTTGCACTTCTAATCAATAGATGAGCAGAGAATTTGAGATAAGGAGTGGTGAATTCGATGAAAAAATCACTCAGTTCGGTGAGCTTCGTTCGATGAGTTCACTTTGGCGAATATATTCGCCACTCCAGGACAGTGCCGTTTGACAGTTAGTTCTAAAGACGAGAAATAATAAGGGCTTTTCACTAACGAGATTTACCATCTTTTTGTCATCCCAGTGCCGAGGTCCTTGTTCCGAGCTCAACAAGCAATTTTCTCAGCGTAAAACATCATCCATGGAGAATGCGGCTTGGAATGAAGCCATACTGATGAAAAATTCAGATAAATAAGCCGTGGAAGGGTGGATATTCAATGCGGATGCATGGGGATCAAAAAAAAGACATGCAGTCCATGTTCCCCATACAATGGTATACAGAGTATTTGGATGTTTATATTTCCATGCACAGAGGCTCCTGCGAAAAGTTTTGACCTCGCTACCTTGCGCTAAGAATTTAAGCTGAAATGTTGATACCGGCATCAAGTAAGAGTCTCAGGGCGCTTATAGCGGCCAATGCCCCTGGCTTGCCCACCAGCTCCTGCCTAAATCCCAGGTGGTGTGGCCTGGAGATTCAATATACTAGGAAGGATATTTCAGGATAAATTCTTAGTGAGACAAAACTTTTCGCAGCGGCCTCTGTATAGTAACTACTCTGTACGCAGGACATATGCCGAGCTGCGCCGATTGAGTCTCAATTTCCAAGCCCTTCTGCGGCGAGATGATATATCGCTGTTTGGCATGACATCGTTTAAGAACTGTGCTTAACCAGAATTCCCACAATTCAAGGCCGTATCAATGACTCCCAAAAACGGCTAGTCCAGGGGAAGTGTTTTGGCAGACTCATTTTTTCTTTTTTTGTTTTCTCTTTTCTTTTTCCCGTCACTGTTGATGTTGATATTTCTCCGGTTCCCACCCCCCCCCCCCAGCAAGGTTCAATAGTTGTGAAAGCAACCATTGGGAACTGAGCTGCATAATCCACTGGACATGAAGCCCAAGTTTAATCCATTCTCAACGGGGTCAGAGCCTCGGGGGGCTTTCGATCGGCCTGACCTTAATTTTACGCTTCCTTCTTGCCTGCGACTTTATCCATCGGTGTTCGACGAAGGCAAAATGATAATATGATACTGCAGCATGGGGAGTCATCTCCCAACCCCAGAACTTGACAGCAGGCGCTAAAGTTGAATGGACCCAATTGATAGCTAACATGAGTTGAATTGGGCCTATTTTATTGATTACGAAACCTGAGTGACAAGTTCACTTTATTTCTTGCTTTTCTTTTCCTTTTTGAAGTGTTGAACTTCGCCAGACTCCGAAATATCAATTTAAGTATTATCATGATCGGCAAGCCATAGAGCCACATCCATATTTCTTGATTCTGCAGACCCCCATCCGGATATCAACACCCATGGATGGCGAATATTTCGGTGCAAATCGCTCGGCTTTGAGCTACCATTGGACATCAAATACTCGATGCTCATTTGTCTGATACATTTTCTCAATAACGGAGGAGGCCCTGTTGTCAGTGGTCATAAAGCTAATGTGCGAGAGAAGTGCAAGACCAACTTGGTTACCGCTCTCATGCCCTCTTCATTTGAATCCATGATGAGAAGCTTTATCGTGTGCCAATAATATGGACGGAACGCCATCGAAGATCACACGGCATCTTCAATAGTGCTGCCAGAGCTAATGTGTTAATGCTGCATCGGAACATGCCATATTGCGGGTATTGATGAATGTTATTGGCAAAACTGTTGTGTCCAGCCAGCCAGCATGCAAGAGAAGTTGGCATTCTTGGACTTGGGGAGTAACACCCCCCTTTTTGATTGCCTATATATACCGCAAATGTATCCTGCCAGAGACCCTCCGTTGTCGAGTCTTAAGTCTTCATCCTCCTTCCACCCTCTTTAAATACCAAACGCTCTTTTTGAAGAACTTCATACCACTACAGTCCTTTCCGAAACAAAGCACAACTTGCAAAAATGCGGTTCACAAGCGCCTCCTTCCTCGGCCTCCTTGTCGTGGCTGCACCATTGGGCACCATCGCGGACAATGCGCTTCCCACGGATATCTCGTCAGCCTGCGCCTTACTCGCCAACCTTACACCTGAGCAGTTCGCGACCACCTTGGCGGATCTAGAGAACAAAGCAAAAACAGATATTACCCGAGACCAGGCCCAGGTTGACAAAGCCTTGGCACAAATCGAATCACTCCCTGCTGGCAACCTGCAGGCTGAGGTTGACAAAGTATGCGCTTCGCAGGCTAAAGCTGTGAAGATCGGCCGTAGCCGTATCTCTCGTCGACAAATCGGTGGAGCTCTGGACGCCTTATCTGGTAGTCTTCCTGGAGGCCTCGGGAACACGGTGAAGGGTGGTGATGACTCCCCGAATGGCGGCGCCCTGGATGGCTTGCTTGGTAGCGTGGGTACGAAGAAGGGCCGCAGCGAAAATACCCGTCGACAAGACGTTGGCGACCTCGGGTCCAAGATTGAGGGTTTTACCCAGACTCTCGGGAGCTTGGCCGGAGGTGTTTCGGGTGAGACGACCAAACGACATTCTTCGAGGCAAGAGGATGAGGGCCTTTTCGGTGGCATCCTTATCCCGGGCATTCTATAAAAGCAGACAACTTACCGGCCCTGGATTGCTGAAACCAATTGGAGAATCGAATGGCTGCGTTTTCGTTTCTTTTGATTTGATGAATGAAGCGGGAAATGAGGGTGTCTTTGGGGGTGAGCAGGGCTTCATGTTGAATGCGAGGATTTGTTTGTGAATAGTTTAATTTTTATTTGGACGGAGTTTTTTAATCTTCTGCGAGGTTCCTAGAAAAGAGAACGCCAGAGATTTTTACATATTTAATTGAAGATACATTTACGATTAAAACAAGTCAAAGAAAACCAATGGCCTGGATTTCAAGCCAAACTCCATTAATATTCCCGATTGAATTGGATTTGCAACCTTCGCGTTGTCTCCTGGTAAGCATGTCGGAGATAATATCTTGTCGTATTTCGTATATTAGAGATTTTATATCACCTTTCGCTTCTTGAAACCCGAGCACTGCCTCGCTCGTATAATCGAGCATTCTCTTCCTTATAAATACTGCCTTTTTATCATGTACTGATCAGAGTTATCATAATCAATTCAATATTCATAAGAATGATAAACTATTAATTAGACAGAGTGAAGCAAAGTCTCTAAGAATCATACAAAGCTCTGAGGAGAGGGACAAAAGTTACTCATTTTATGACTGAAATGATAGAATATCAATATATTTAAAAATATAACTTGAATCTCAATGATTTTATTGATACAGAGAAGATTTTTACATCTCTGATTGATCTAAATACTAAATAATCCCCACTTTTATTTATGCAGTGGAGACTTGACAATTAGCTTAGATACCCCTTATTCTTACCCCTTAACCCATCTGCAAGCGTGCCAAAATATTCAGGAGGTGTTTTCTTGCGGGGCTCCTTTGGATTGCATACAATGCGATATAAAGTCTTCAGTTTATCGAGGCCAAGGATGTTTCTGTAAGTTTTGTGGCATCGCCGGAATGATCTTCATTGAAAAAATACTCTAGATTGGCAATATACGTGGAGGCATCTTTGGGCCTTTTCTTTGCAGGCCAAATGCATCGGATGGTAAGGAATGCTTCTTTTGGAACAGTCGATGCAGAGAAACTCCCTGTTCTGGCACTCCTGGCATCAGAAGCCTGTACTCAGATCCAAGATTTGTCAGGGAGCAGCCACAGTACCCTCCATGCACAGTTGCTCGATAGTGCGCTGTTGAAGGCCATATTTCTGTATCGCTTCGTGCCATTCCTTTTTGTTGGATGGGATTTTTGTCGAGCCCATGAGCGGCCAGGCGACGAGGAAACGCCATGTCCGCGCTAAACTTCAGCAGAGATAGGCGACGGAACCAGCGACAAATATAAAAATATCAAGAAAGAAGGCAACAACGACGCAAGAAGGCGAGGCCACTGGGGAAAAGGACCGTGTGTTCGCAAGGAGGACTATTTATATACCCTTGTAGCGGAATTTTTGTGCTAACAACAGGCCTCCTAACATGTTAGGCCCACTGGGACAAAAGAGCTCGATCACCAGTGGAATGTCAGTAGTAGAGGGGACGAACCAATCCAAAGCCCCAACAGTTCACAACCTACATCCACAGATGACAACTACCTCATCAGACCAGCAGAGCACCAGTCATTTCTACTAACTGCACGTTATGCAATCAGAAATAAAGCCCTTCCATTGCCCGGAGCACGTTGGCAGGCTCATGGCGGGCCTTTTTTGTTTGTACATCTCCTACTCGCCAGACTCGTTCCCGTTTGAGTGGCTGCAAAAGACAGAGGACCTCAAGGTGCAATGTAGGGACAGCACCAGTGAGAAAGTGACTTTTTCAACATCCCCAGAGCTTCTACAAGCTATCCACAGGTGCGAGAGAGTTACTGCGCCAGAGAAAACTCATGGCCTCCCGAGCGACTGGGGTTTCTCTGGCTTCATGAAGACCGCTGCCCACCAGGTTCTAGATGAAGTTCCCTTTACTAAGGCTGCTGAGTATGTATGATGACATATCTTTGTTGCTCTTCATTCATTTTGCTCACCTTTCCTTACCTTTTTATCAGGTTTGAAGGCCCCTTTTTCCGCAGGCTGGGCATCGGCATCATAAGCGATTCCCACCCTCGCATTAAAGGTGAACAGATCTTCTATCTTCGTCATAACCACTGGAGCTGCATGATTCGGGATCGCTCAATCACAGCCGGCACGGAACTGCAAGAAAACCGCAAAGATTATCTTCTGAAAAGTGAACTACTGGCAGTCACTTCGATCTTTTACCGTCAGATGAATGAGATGGTGTGGCTTCCTGAGGAGAACCGGTACATGCCGAAGCCCATATACAAGGAAGGTTTTTTGGTAGTATGTTTACCTTCTCTCTTCTTTTCAGCTCCTTCCCATTATTGAATGCTGAGAGTACCCACCAAGGCCACGATCGTCACATTCGTTTATGGGAAAGTACGCATAGTCCAATCGACCTGCGACCCATCAGAAAGGAACCCAACGCTCACCTTGACGCTGAGGGCTGTATACAACCTCGGCAAAGACAACTATGACAAAATGGTAGCCTTTGATATTCTGAAATGGATATTCTGTCCTCCGGAGCCCGCCAGGGAGCTTGCTATAAGTGGAAAGCGATAGTTGATGCAATTTGGAGAAGGCTTGAGATGTGAGAGGTAATATTTCTGGGATTTGCTGGTACAAGGCTGGGGCGTATGCCTAGAGAGAGTTCGCGTACTGTGATGTATTTGAATTAAGACGGGATGAACCGTCGGGTAGTGATTCATCCCCTCTATACCACCGTGGCGCTATTGGTGATGATTGAGCTCTTTTGGCCCAGTCGCCGAATAGAAAGACTGTACAATTGTCAATACTTTGTAGGTGCTATGTACAGATTAGTGCAAAAACATCATATATATAAATCCACATATGTGATAGTGATGTCAATTAAAAACACCACCCGACATATTTGTTGTGACTGCAAAAGGTGTTTTCAGCATCCCTCTATTGTTCCTTTATAACCAACTCTTGCTTGTATTTAACATCACACAAGGACTCGTCATAAGCACTGCTTGCAGTATAAGGAATAATAATGATAAATATTGAATATGAGAAATTCAACATTCTCATCTATCTTCTTTTATCTATTTCTTTTCCTTAACTTTATTCAGATTGATCATCATTCCGACAAAGCATCGCAAATAGGCCTCACCTTAGATAGGTATGACGACATTGGCTGGCAGCTGGCTCTGCAAACTCCGGCAAACACTTGGACTATTCAAATCCACCATCCGATTATCCAATCTTCTGGGTTCAGATAGTTATTTTCCCCCTTCTCTTCTTTTATTTTCTTTATATTTGTTAACCGTCATAGCTATTTCTCTAGCTATTCCTCCACCCACACTTAACACCCGAGATCTGAGCCTAATCCCTTTGACCATGGCAGTAAAATCGATTGCAGTTATTGCAGGTGTGGGTGCTGGCACTGTAAGGCGCATACATATATCTGCTTTAGCCGAGAACACAAATATAGCGTTCAACGTCCTAACAGTGCTCTGTGGTGCGGCAGGGAGCCTCGATCGCCCGCAAATTTGCCCAAACGTACAGTGTCGCCCTCCTGGCGCGAACTGCGGCTAGTTATCAGACTCTCGTCCAAGAAATAAGTAGCAGCGGCGGGAACGCCATCGGCGTAAACACAGACGTCACAAGCGATGCGAGCGTGAAGAACGCCTTCGCGGAAATATCGAAAGCATTTCCTGGCGCGCCGCTCGCGGCTGCGATCTATAATGTTGGGGGGGGTTTTGTGCGGAAGCCCTTTCTCGACCTTTCGCAGGAGGATTTCACGGCTGGCTACGAGAGCAATGCGTATGCGCCTCTCTAAATTATGTATATTCTACATCAGTATCGCATTGTTATTATTACAGTCCCTATGTGTCCCACCAACCCTTCAGGAGCTTACCATAAAGCCACCGCTGCTATGTGAGCTCTGAGCAAACTAGACTAATATGGTTCCTATTTGCTTTGGAACAATTAATTTACAGCAAGGGCGCCTTTCATTTCTCCCAGGCTGCGTTGCCTTTACTCCTGAAGTCTGGAGATCTAGAGCATCCTCCGACTCTCATTTTCACTGGTATAATCTAACTCACGTCCAGTTGATTTTCTTCCTCTCGAATTGGGTGGATAACTGATACTAATATGGCTATTAGGTGCTACCGCAAGCCTCAAAGGTTCCTCCCTATGCTCATCCTTCGCGACGGGGAAATTTGCTATGCGAGCCCTGTCCCAGTCACTCGCAAGGGAATTTGGTCCTCAGGGAATCCACGTTTGCCATGCCATCATCGATGGCATTATTGATGTTGAGCGCACAAAGGGCTTCAAATTTGACGCTCCCGACGCAAAATTGGACCCCAATTCGGTTAGTTTGAATGCCGAAGTTTCAGTGTCATAGCCTGAGCATGAAAAACGGAGAAGAGAGAAAAAGACCTGTTTTGCTTAGGCCGTTGTGTGATATCATTTAGCTAACGTTTTGTTTACCCCCCAGATTGCGGAGACGTATTGGTTCCTGCATACCCAGCCAAGAACTACCTTTACCCAAGAACTTGATATGCGGCCATATGTTGAAAAATGGTAAGACCGGCTTCCTGTTGAATCGGTCCGTACGCTAGCACATGTAAATATTCCCGGGACAGTAGTGTGATATACGACTCCATCAGAATGATCTCATGTAATTGAAGGAAATGGATTTAATTTGAATTTTTTTCATTAACGTATACTTTTGACCCATCGTGCATCTTATAGTAAATGAAATGATACTGCTGCACAAATTGTTGGGGGTTTGGATTGGTTCGTCCCCTTTACTACCCGCATAGCGCTGGTTGTGATTGAGCTCTTTTGCCCCAGTGGCCTAACATTTTTCCCCTAATTCACCGCAAGACTCCAGGTTACACGTCGGCTGACCCCTCGGGTGACTCACCTGACCTACGCTAGTGGAGGTCAGCTGACCCAATAGAAATGATGACTAGTCAAAGGGTCAGTTGAGCTCTGTACAAACCTAAGCTGTTACAACCTCTTACACACCACTGCCCACCCGCGCCCACCCCCCCCCCCCACACCCCCTCACCACATTTTATAAACAATCAATAACTAGTAGAATACCAATAATTCAATTCCACAAAATAATTGCAATTATCACCATGACTAGCACATTGAAGAAGCATGTGAGTTTTAACTGATCCCTAACTGATTCTTGACTAGTATACTAAATAATATGCAGCATCAGTACCAACAATATTTAGAGATTGAAAAGGGAGAGCTGCCACTTCCAGATTTTGATATAACAGTGAGTTTAGTAAGAAGTTTCATTTAACTAGTAGCTAACTGGTACTTGATTAGAAGCAAATCAAGTTGTTTGTGGGAGAAGCATTCTGCCATTTCTCAGATTGCATGAATTTAGTAAGTTTTAATTGACTAGTTAAGGATTGATTGAAGACTGATTCTCTAGTAGTGGCTAACTAGTCAGATTAAAATGATCACAAACAATCTCAGAAAGTATATGAAGAAGCATTCTGAGGCAAGTGTTGTAGATGAAGGCTGGGGAGGTGGCATAGCATGTGACAATGTTGATAGAGCTTTTGATATGTGTTGATCTCACTAGTTGTGCAGTAGTACAACACTGGTTTATAACAAGTCACTAACTAGTGAATAGCATTTTACAAGACTATTATTGTAAATTACAAAAATAATGCAGTTGAAGTGACTAGTTCTGAATCAGTTGCATAGTTGAAAGAACTTGATACTGAATCAATTGCTGAAAAGAAGATGGAGCTGACTGTGAAGAAGATTCCTCTGTCTATAAGAAAGAATGACAAGTCAGTGAGTATTTGAACACTTATATTTGACTAATACACAGCTAGTGATTAACTGATTGCTAATCAGTTATACTCAACATAATATTATCTTAGTCAAAAAGATTGTGAAGAAGTGCAGACTTTCAATTCCATGCAAGATCTGTGAAAAAACTTGGAATTGTAAGTAATTAAATCAGTATTTTATTGATCAATAAGCAGTGGATACTGATTACTGACTAGTTATAGTTTATTGCAAGAAGTTTGAGAAGTGTTCTTACAAAGTGCTGTTTTTTTCAGTATTAGATGTTACTAGTGAGATATCAGTGGTGGCTGAGTTTTCAGAAGAGAAGAGAAAATCTTCAGACTTTGTTGAGAAGAAGATGAAGAAGAATGATGAGGAATCTGAGAAGAAGAAGAAGTATGAGAAAGCATTTGAGAGTGGTGATGAGAAAACTATCAGTGAATAACTGATGGATTATTGCTTCAAACTAGTAAATGACTAGTTATGTTTTTTTGCATTTTCTATTAATCATTTTTTATTTTTCAAAGTGACTAGTAGTCACTAATTGATATCTCATCAGTTATTGTCTCACTGATTTTTTTCAGAATCTATCATTGTTAAATTTCCTTATTAGTGCAATACTAGTCATCATTGGTATTACACTAGTTAATATAATATTTCATTTACCATTTTCAATAACTACTCATTTACTAGTGGAGACTAGTAAAGTTATATTTTAATCAAAGTATAGTTTTTCATCACTCAATGACTAGTCATATCAAATATGCAATTTGAGATTCTATATATATTTATGACTACATTTTCATTTATGAAATTTTTTAATATTTTTTTATAACATTTTTCTCTCTTATATATTTTTATAACAATTATATTGTTTTTCAAACAATTCTTTTGGTTTTACTAATAAATAAAATATATCTCTATAGTTTTTAGTAAATGACTGATTGACAACTAATATTTGACTAGTGAGATAAAAACTCTTGCTTCATTTTTTGCAATTTCAATTGAGCACATCAATTTGTTAGTTCTAACTGCTCAATCTCAGCTGCTTGATATTGAAGATTTATTTCTTGATTTTTAAGAGTTAATTCTTTCTCACAAATCTGTATTTTCTGAAGATTCATTGAAGCAGCTCATCTCAGAGATGGAACTGGCAGTTCTTGACTTGCACTGCACTAGTTAGTAACTGATCTGACAGCAGTAAGATACTATTTATATTAAACTTACTTGAGAGCTTCTGAATGATTTGACTGTGAATCACTGCTTTGTAATGATATAACAGATGGTGTATAAGAGCTCTGTTGATTTCTTTCTCCTCTTTCAGAAAATACTATATTAGCACTAGTAAATTACTAATCCTTAATTAGTTATTACACATCTTGATGAGTGACTTCTATACTGAGATTGAGATCAACTTCAAATATTGTCAGAAGAAGAGGCTCAATCTAGAAGGGAATTTTCCTTCAATAATTCCTCATCTCAAACTCATTTGCATTGTTCTAGTACTAGTCAGTCACTAATAGAGAACTAGTAATGCTAACTTATCTCACCTCTGACAATGCTGTTGAAATATCTTTAATTTAATGCATTGAATTGATTGTTATGTGAAAGATAAAATTTGTTGTATATCTTGAGCTGATCAACATCTCTGGCATTCAATGTCCAGCCACTAGTATTTGATTAGTATCATACTAGAAAAGAATTAGTGATAGAACATACTGCAATACAGTTTCAAGTAGAGATGCATATCATCTCTATATCAAAGATTTGTTATGAGTCTGTTCAACAGTATTTGTATACTTTTGAATTTCTCTATAAATTGCAGTTCTTATTAAAGAGCAATTTTCATTAAGCTCAGCTGCAATAATAGACTGCTTTTTATGATGTGCTCAGTTTGCAATCTTGCTTGACTCATTGTCTGAATGATATTATTAGTCAGTGACTGATAAGTCATTAGTTGGCAACCAGTCATGATATCTACTCACCAATCATTAAATCACATAGTTTCATATAGTCACTATTACTAGTACAAGTCAAAAGACTTTGCATGCAATAATGAAGATCAGAACTAATTGAACTAGTTTCAATTGTATGATCAATTCTCTGAAAAAAATGAATATGACAGAAGATAATAAGATTCTTCAACTGCCATTTCCATTCTCATTGCTGTGAATCAATTTCATTTACAGCATGTTCAAGATCTGACTAGTCAGTAACTGATAGAATATTACTCAAATATCAGTAACTAACTTATCTGTCATCTATTTTGTATTCATATTTATTACAACAGTATAAAGTTCTTCACCATGCAAATAATAAAAGATCATATTCTGTTCTGTTATATCTTTGACAAGTGTAAAAAGTCTAAGAAATAGATCTTTGTACATTGTAGTTGTTTCAGTATTGACAACAACATACAGAAGAGTAAAGACTAGTAGTTCATTTATTAGATATTAGTAAGATACTAGTCAAAGAGAGATGACTTACTTTTGTTTTGCTCTGATAACATTGTAGCAAGAACAATTTCATTTATATATTGATTCTGAATCTGCTTGAATGACATATCAATTTCAAATGATTTTAGTGTGACAAGAACCTTGATTTGTTCTTTAAATGCACAGAAAATCATAAATTCATCATTTGACTCATAAATATGCTGAATATAAGGCTATCCACATTATCAAGACTTATCAGTGACTAGTGGATAACTGATAGATGACTGATAGATGACTGATAAATGACTGATACTTACATTGTTATCTTGTTGATCTTGTTTATATTGATAGATAACATCTGCAAAATCTCTTTCTTCTGAACAGTGAAATAAATGCTCTTTATAAATAAGAGCAGCAATTTGATTCATATTTGCAAGACTTGTATGAATCTGAGCAAAAATATTTTTACTATATCTTTGACAGAGTTTCTTGATATGCAGAGACTTGAGAAAGAGAGCTGAGTTGATAATATTAGTTAAATACTAATATATGATTAGTGAGTCACTAGTAATATACTGAGAGTGAGATCTGAATCATTCATTCAGTGAATCAGATTGGCAATATCACAGATGATATTCCTTGATATTTATGATAAAAAAGATGGTGGATGAGAATGTATTTCATGAAATCTTAATATAATATAGAGTTTATTTTGCTGATCAACTGGAATAAGGATATCAAAAGTAACATCACATAATTAATATACTAATATTTCTTGCCTCTGAGCATGATCAATATTTAGAGTATACTAGTCAATGACTGATGAGTTACTGCTTATTGATTAGTAATAAACTTACTGCAATGAGTTCATCAAGTGCTTGTTGAAAATAAGCTACTGTATAACTCAGCTTCAATTTGTAATTCCTTTTCAAAAAGCTGCTTGAAATAGAAGATATTAATTCTAGCAGTTATTGATATTGAAAGAAAGAGATGAGTTGAGTTGTGAGATGTATAGTTCACACAGGCAATATATGGTTGGAAAATTTCAGCAATATTTTATCATGATTATTAGTCATCAATCAGTGTTCTTCTGATGAGTTACTAGTCACAAATGAACTTCTGAAATACTTACTGATTGTGTAAAGATTCATCATTCAGATTTGTATATTGAAAGAGTATTTTCACCACATATATAGTTTGAATCAAATCATCATTTTATACTATAGTACATACTAGTATAAGATTAGTTTTGTACTCATGACTTACTAGTAGTAAATCAGTTATAATATACTCAATTGCTGTTCAAATTGAAGATCTGTTTGCTTCAGAAGTCAGAGTGACTTGACAAATAGATAATCTCTGCTATAGAGTCTCATCAACTTTGATATATTGAAAATTCATCAAATCTGATTGTATATATTCACAATGTTGAATACCAGAATATTTATATCAATGTTATATAACAGATATTTATAGATATGATGAATAGGTCTTTTTAGAGAGTGCAATTTGTGACTTTTCATATTGAATCTATATGCACAGAGATATATTAGTCCCTCACTAGTAATATACTCATCATTCACTAGTGATGCATATCAATGATCATGGTTTTTGAGTGTCCTCATCATCAAGCAACTGTGTTTCAATGATATATGTATATCCATCTTCTGAGATTGCTGGATATTCAGAAATTAGACTAATATACTCTATTTTCTGTGTTGGAAGTGTGCTTGTACTCCAACAATCTGTTAAAATTATGGATTCATAACATGGCTTACTAGTCAGTAAGTAATCAAATAGTAGTAAATGACTAGTTTTACATACTGCATTTTCATCCAAAACTTCTGTATATTCCTCAAGTTGATGATCTTGATCTAAAACAAGATCTAATAGATCACTATCATCTGAGAAAGAATCAGTATTCATTTTTGCTGTGTGTATTAAAAGATGTATAAGAAGGTAAAAGTTCATTTTTGTTTTATCCTCAGCTGATCCTTTTTGTGCCAAGAATTTTATTGGGTCAGTTGACCTCCACTAGCGTAGGTCAGGTGAGTCACCCGAGGGGTCAGCCGACGTGTAGTCTCGCAAGACTCCAATCACGTGCATTATATCATCATTTTGATCAATCGGCAGAGCAGCTTGAACCTGAACTCCCAACTGAGTGCTGACCTCTCTACGGAGTATCGCAACAAGGGCCTCCATAAATAGAGTAGTAACTTGACGACGTGGGTTGCTTACAATCTCCCCTTCTGACCGGGTTTCGGCTTCAGCAATCACTAACGTATCTCCCTCTTCAGACCGCGATCAACAACCCATCAACAACCCCCCAACCCCCGCAACCACGGCTGCCTCCATGATGGTGCGGAACGAGGTATCGCCCCAGGCGGATGGCTATGGCAATGCTGCTATTGACTCTGGCGATAGCTACTCCTTCTCACAAAACACATTATCACCTCTCAGAATTTTTGCCGCCCGAATTGAAGTTCCACCCTACGGATTGGGGAAACAATTGTTATTTCTGCGATCGAGACCCGCCTATGAGGAATATATGGCTTCTCGGATTAAACAACATGTTGAAATTGGGATGGCTTTTGTGGACAGACCGCTTACTCAGCTGGAGACTGACTCCTTCGTTGAACAGGCCGTAAGCTTAACCACAAAACCTCGAATTGGGGCATACCTTGGCTCATTCTTGGGGTTCCTGTTAGTCGCAAAGCCTTTCTTCAAGAACAGTCGTCTAGTACCTTTTGCACAAATGAAGGGCATGGTAGATAGACCATTGATTATTAGAACATTACTTTGGCCGTTTTGTGTCTTCGCAGGGAATATTTTCGGAAAAGCAAGCGGCGCCTCTCTCGCAGTGCGAGATCTGACATCGGATCCCAGATTAACCCAATACCGGCAAGACCGCGCAAATCAAGATCCTCAGAAGGTTCAGAAAAGCCTAGAAAAGCTTGGGTGGAAGACTCGTCATACTCAGTCACCCCCACGTCGCCCTCACTCACAGCAAAATAAACCAGAGAAAGACAATGCCAGCCCAACCGCTGGATTCGAATCAAATGGTGATGATGACTCAATCTACTCTTCTACCCATTACGGACCTTCAAGCGAAATTTACGTAATGCAATCACAAGCAGATTCGAACATTCCGGCGCAATCAAATCCGCAGCAGTGGGACCCTTCGCAGCGGCAGCAAGGCGATTTGGGTAAATATCGACAGGGTCGCCAGATAATCGATAAAAGCGACGATGATGATGTCTTTGGCTTCAACTCCAATACAACACCTGGAATAGCAGGCTCAACAACCACTAGATCTCAGCCGTCAGGAAGTGCCTGGGATCGGCTACGCGGGTCACCCTCATCCACTTCCAGCCGCCCATCTATCAAGAGGGAAAGCTCAAGCTTGGATTCACCAATATCAAGCACCGAGAGTACACCATCCGATTCGTCATCAACACCTCCCGGCAGCTCATGGGATCGAATACGCGCCGCATCCGCGTTCCCTTCCTCCACGCCTTTCCAACCACAACCTGAGCAGTGGCCTCAGAATAAACCAGACAACTATGAAGATTCTACGCGACAATCGAAAGACAAAGCGCAGCGCGAGTTCGACCGCCTGCTTGAACAGGAGAGACAGAATATCGGTGACGGCGACAGCTATACTAAACAAAAAAGGGATTGGGGGAGAGGGTCATAGCGTGCTGGAGCTGATATTCCCTTCGACGTTTGATTATCCCTAACTTTATCCATAGAAGGGGGGATATTACCTATGAGTTGGGTTGATTCGACAGCTATGCATGTGTGTTTGCAAAGCATATATCCGCATCCACATCCCATATTTGTGTGTATTATTATCACTTTAGAATGACACTGAATTATAAATATTAGAAATGCATATATATCTGTAGAACGCCTTTTGTTACTGCCATGCGGGAAACTTGTGGCACGGATAGAAACATGGATATCAGCACCACGATGCCATGTAGATTAAGTGAGACAGTGAATGGTTCATATATTAAACTCGGTGGAGATGGGTTTGTGCACTACGGAAATGGAAGAGAACACTGCCACGATTGTCAATCAAAGCCACCCCAATTAAATGCGTCGGTCCCCTGAGAAGAAAATATCGTACGGTAAAGGAAAAAAAAAAAAAAACACCATAAACATTGATTGGAGGGGATATCAGAACGAATAAAGCGACGGCAGAGTTCAATAGAGAAGCAAAGGTAAAAGTGAAAGAAAACTGCTGGAATAAGGAGAAATAACGCGAAACACGAATTAGGGAAGATAAATCAACACTCGTTAGCAATAGATATTTTCGGAAATAAAAGAAATGTTAAAATGGAAATATAAATGTTCAGCAAGCATATCATGCGTGTTGCTTTTCACGGGATCATTGAGCAGCGAATTTTGGTTGCCCAACTTCGCTGATTTATGACATCCATATAATCTTTGCCGATGAATGAATAGGACATGAGAAGAATAGCAAAAAGGACTGAAATCATAATGAATTATAATAATGAGAAACACATTTTTACCGCTGACGGTCGCTTCCATCTTTTAAATTTGGCACAAGACTTTCATTTGATCCTAGCTCCATATCCCAAAAACATCACAACAGGAGTTAGGTTTTTATTTTTATTATTTCCCCCCATTTCCGGTTTTTCGTAGGTGTGAAGTCACTGCCGCAATTTTTTTGGTATTGGGGATATAGACTTGGGCCCTGGAGAGTTGTAGTTTCTGATCTATATCCTGTTCTCAATAACATTTTGTATCGACAAGCTTTCATACGGTGAGGGCGCATCGGATTCTGGAGGCCGAGTATTGCGACCTCGACTTGTACTACGCATTCTATCTGTAAAAGTGCGGATTTTGCTCGTGAAGTTCTCATTCACACTGCGGCCGCGCCGATGGGTGCTATCGCCATTGCTTTTCGAGGGAGAGAATCCTGACGCCTCGGCGATGGGGGAGAATATTGCTGGTGGTGGTTGCAGCCCCATATCATTCATCTTTGAGGGATTATCAATGGCTATGTTGATAGTACCCACGCCTGAAACAAGCGAGTTTCGTGAATCATACGTCGATGGCATTTGGATGTGGGTATTTATCATGGGAGGTGGTGGTGGCGGTGGTGGAGGTGATTGCAAATGCCGAAGCTCCGGCAGGAGAGGTGGTGGTGCTACATTGCCATTATTGCCATTTGATAGATTGTGGCCCATATCCTGTGACGTCTGTCGTCGGTGAGAGGATTTCTGAGCTGGCTTGCTACTCGGTATTTGTTGTTGATAATGCGGGTGGGCCACAATCCCGCGTGGTTTTCCATTGAGTTCAAGGTGTTCAGGTGGAGCTGAAGCCGACCGCGAAATATTGTATCCAGTTGGTCGATAAACAGCGTCACTTAGTGTCATAATATTGTCTGGGACTTCAGGTAGAGCAGGGGCATTGACATCGGCGTAGCCTGTGCTGTATTTTGGATGTCTCATTGCCCTGGGAGTTGCAGGTAGCCCAATCGGGACATTCGAGGGCCCACGTCCCGAGTGGTTGGAATCGGAGTTCGAATTAGCTGGTGATAGGTTTTTCCCTCCCATTCTTTGATTGAAGGAGCCGCTGTATGGGGGACTGTCAACCGCATTTTGTCGGAGAGACAAATTACTGCCACTTTCCCCCGGAAGAGGGATTGAGGGAGCAGAAGGTCGGCGTGCTAGGGACAGACGGCGAGCTTCCAGCTCAGCGGCTGCTAATTCCTTTCTTTTCCGTTCTGCCATAGATTGTAATGGCGGCTGATGACCAGTTTCAAAACCTGCGGTCGAGGGAGTTTCGTTATCGATAGAGTAGGCGTGCCTACGATGGCCCTTATTGCCATCTCCACTAGCGTATGTGTCTCGCAGTGCACTCGTTGAGCGGTCATGACTCTGTCTACTGTGAGAGCGATTGCGCTCTCTCCTGCGGTCTGGAGATGGATCACGGCGAGAACTTGTGCCACGTTCTGGACGGCGGTTCTGACTCGTGTGTCTCGATCGTACACGATGTTTCCTATCTACATTAACTAGCCGAAGGCCATTCTCAATATCTTGGCCACTATTGTAGTCCCCGAGAGTTGGAGACATTGGAAGTGGAGAAGATGGAGATCTAGGACCAGAACCCTCAGTCCTCTGCGAACTCCTTCCTCGTGTTGCAATGGAGTTATATAATGGATCTGGGCTATGGCGGCGCGTTGTAACCTGGCTAGACTTATCTCCAGCCCAAGAACCGGAACGATTGCGGAGTCGATGGCGGCTTTTGGACGCTGATCGAGTTCTGGATTTTGTACGTCTTCTGCTCCTATGGCGACGCCCTTGATCCATGTTCGATTTTGATTGATTATCAGTCGTGTCCCCAGTAGTATAGAGAGCCAAGTCATCCGGGGACATTGGGATGGGTGACGACGGCGATCTCTTTGCTGGTTGTATGTACCGCTGATTGCTTCTCCCATGGGATTCCTTCGAGTGTGGTCGAGACTTCTGCTTGCTACGGGCTTTGATATTAGGGTCAGTATCCGTATTTCGTCGTTCGCGTCCGATTCTGTGATGGCCAGAACGGTAGCTAGCTTCGTCTAGGCTACTGATATATTGATCAATACTTCTGACACTAGCATTGGCACTCCTTGTTGATCGTGCACTGGTAGTTGACATTGCTGAGCTATAGAAATTATCAGGTGTCGCTCCTCGATGCTGGTTTTGCGACATTGATCGGGGTATAATGTCGTAGGACATTGAAGTGTCAGGCCCACTCTCTGGGAAAGCATCCAAAGGAGGCCATGGCATATGGAGACCCTCAGCCTTGCGGCCATCCTTCTGTTCATGCGAATTCGTTCTACTCTGATTCTGTGCTTTCAGTGATTCGAATATATCATTTGGAAGGGGTGAAAATGGGCGGCCTCCGTCGGATCCATCATCACCGAGCAAAACAGCAGTTGTTGGAGTCTTTCTTGGGGTTTCAGATATAGGAGTATACCTAGCAGACGACAACAAAACAGGTTCCGGTGTGTCAACAGATTGGCGCTGTGCGATGGCCATGCCGGCGTTACGAGCATCCCTCTCTTTATCCGACCCTGAGTCAACGGGCGTTGGCAAACTTTTAGGGATACCAAAAGCTGGAGGATTTACATCGATTGGAGTTTCGCCAATTGATGGGAGGCGGTGTTTAGCATAGCTGTTCGGTGTTCCCGTGCGACCGATTCTTCCCATAGGTAATCTATGTGAACCAAATCCTCCAGGGGAGGTTGGGTCGACAAGTGCAGAATCTGCGATCGGCGTAATCCCGGGAGCATTGGTTGGCGTCCGATCCGCAGAAGTAAGACCAGGGAATTTGAACTGGCCATTAGGATGTGGGCTGAAAGAAGTGATGAGCTTCAGGGCCGGGCTTTTAAGATTGCCGCGAGAGGGTGGACGGGGTGCATTGGCAGTAATGGACGGCTCAGCATTCGTTGGCGTCGGGCCTCGAGATCTGGACAATTGATCTGATAAAATAGTAGTCATCTGGGCAGTTGGAGAGGCCCATGCTTCGGATGTTTCTGCATCGGTACAGGCAAAGCATCGTATAGCTAGATGTTGTTGGGAGTTTTGAACAACATGCTCACCCCATTTTCTTACTAGATACGATTGCCGCTGCCATTCAGAAGGCATTAATAAGCATGTCAAAAGAATTGCCTCCATGTACAGATTTCTTGATACGTAAACTTCGATGGCATCGTTGCAATCGCCCATTCCGAGGAGAACTGCTGCAGAAGCATGAATATCGCCTTTTGCCAGAAGCTTTTGGACCAGCGCTTGCCCGAGATGTTTGCTATGGCCCTGGTTTCCAAGCTGCGTTAACGCAAGCAACATCCAATCGCTGTACTGGCTAGAGCCTGGTCCCATCATTGACAAGATAAGGTTTGTGTCGATTTCTCCCAACCAGCGGGCGAGGAGAATGGCATGTTGGCTTCCCGGATTGTGACGGCGCACTACAAAAAAAGATTAAAGAGTCAATAAACTCATAAAAATTATCGAATGTCGTGATCAAATGGAACTCACACTCATCTCGTATCAGTTCATCAATATCTCCTTCCCATCCGAAAACAACATGGAGCATCTGTTTCCTAAGCTCATCCGGTGATAGATTACCGTCGTTTTGAGGGCGAGGGGGTTGGAACGGGACATTGTTTACACGGCTCCGGATGTACGGAAATAACTCCGTAATTGGCTTGTCGAGCGAATTATGGCTGCTGGTATTGCTCGCGTTCGGGAGATATTCATGGCGCAATCGTGAGGAGCCGCGAGCGTATGATCTCCTGGAGGAGGTAGAAACTGAAGAGGCATAATTCAAAGAAGTTACCGATCGCGATTCCGGAATTGAAGGCGCGGGCGAGCCCATTGAAAATGTCGTTCCGCTGTTGTAAGATCTAGATCGAATCGACATCGCACCACGTACACCACGATTGTACGAGTTTGCGGAGCTGGTCGAGGTGGTCTGACTTCCGGTTGACATAGGGCTCTTTAACCCAGCCCGTTGGCGGGCAAGTTCTAAGGCATTTGGCTCAATAGGTCGCCCTGATGACGCTGGGGACGGACTTCTCATTCTCTCGGCAATGCTGGTTTGATATTGTGCCAGATTTTGTGTCGTAAGTCCCGATTCAACTTTCTCTGGTTGTGCCTCGGTAGTTTGGCTGGTCAAGGAAGTAAGAGGGAGGTGCTGAACGTTGGCGACCATGGTAGGGTTTTCAAGATCATATTGTTGAACAGTATGATTCGGCCCCAGTGTGAACAGAGAAGCTGTTGATCCATAGTTCGCCAGGCCTCTCACTCCTTGTACGGTTGGCACTTGCTCGTAAGTTACGTGCTTTGTTCTTACATCCCATGCCCAAGTCTCCCTAAAACATATGTCAGCTAACGGAATCTGCAACTTAAGGATATGAGCATGAAAAAAAAAAAAAAAAAAAAAAATACCCTTCAGCATATTGAACAATTCGCCCATTCTTGGACCAAGCCAGCCATTTTGGTCCAGGTGAGCCATATTCAGACCTTTTCAATGATCTAATGACGCGAGGCGTTTCGTTGGCGGGATGCTTTGATACACTCCACACAAGTAGATCTCCTTCAACAGTCTGGCTGGCGAGCATGTCTGATTTCTGCTTGGTAGATGAGGCATGCCATGCCAATGAAACAATGGAGGAAGGGCCACGAGAGGTAGTAAGAGTATGAAGTATCGTAAAAGGTTGAATAGTAGCGATTAATATTGAACCATTATTATATCTATAAGGATGTTTGTTAGCGGTGCAATCCCAAGGATTTCTCTCAAGAGAGCATACCCAATCGCGTAAATCCGACAATCGTTTCCCGGTGCCAACGCAGTAATGGGATCGAAAATCGTGCGAGCCGACACATGTTCAGAAGTTGCAGGTTCAAATAGGATTACTTCCCCTTTCGTATTTCCTGCTAGCCAGTCAGCAATGACTCTTTTATTCTAACTTTTATTCTTTAATTTTTTTGGAGAATTTTCCCACCAAACGATACATTCCCATTCCGCAGCCAGGTTGCAACTCGGATATGTTCAAAAGAAGCAAATCGCGATATTTCTTGTCCAGTGAATATATCCCAAACAATTGCTGTCTGACTAACATCGTAGCTAACAACTAGCCTTCCAGCACCCCTTTCGCTAACATTGTCCACAGATATAAACTGGATTTTCTCCTGGTGGCGGTCAAACCGTCGCTCGATCGCCAGAGTATCATGGTGTAGACAGAGGATAGAAGAGCCCTGAGAGTAGAGAAACAGCGAAGCAGTGGAAGCACATGGGTCGAAATCGTCGTGGGTATTTATCTGGCTCACTCCCAGAGCACCCGAGGTAGATCTCGAGCCTGTAGACATTGCCTTGCGAATGACGAAGTGATCAGAGGACTATCAAACCAGCACGGGGATGCCAGTGTAGGCGTGTCTATACATGTGTCAGCGTCCTCGTCGCACAGGGTCGGAATTTATTTCAGGTGGAGAAGAAGAGAACAGGGGGGAAAGAAACAGAAATAAACGGTGAAGAGCAAGGGTTTGTATTCAACACAAGTTACAGAAATCGGGGGGGCAACCGCTAAGCGCAGAGAGATTACAAGAGACAGAAATCACAAACCCTCTCGAAAGGATTGTAGCACCAAATTCGGGGTTTGGGAAAGTGACTCCACAACTTGCCCAGAGAAATAACCGCCGTGTGAAATCGTAGCATGCGAGGCTAAATTCAGCAGACGAGCACCACCGAAGGGCGGCTGGGGATGAGGTTAGCTTGTACAAGGCAGTAAGGAATGGTAGCCAAGATCAGGAAGTCGGCGAAATTCAAACAGCAAAGTTGTCGATTGTGTATAAATGTCCAGAGAAGGTGAGCAATGGGGAGGAGGAGTCGGTGGTGTCTACAGAATACATGCGGATGGATAACGGACGACAAGCGACCATAATTATGTGTGAACAATGTTTTGTTCCATTCTCTCCTGGAAAAGAAGAAAAAAAAGACGCAAGTAGAAAAAGCCACTAAGAGCATGTGGTCCGTCCAAGTATCAATTGACACGATGTCTCCAGAAACAGTTATTTGCCCACCTCACGTCAGGTGGTGGAAATAGTGGGTAGAGGCTGGCGGCGAATGAAGGTAATGAGAGATGGCGGGGGAACAGGGGTTAGTGACTCGTGTAGCTCTGGTAAATCCCATACTCGGTCTCTCCACGGATTCAGGAATGAGCACTGAGGGGCCGGACAGCATCAACAATTTTGGCTCTCAACTCAGTCGAACCTATGTCGACGAGAGAAAAAGCAACACAAGCGCAAACGACAGGGATAGGCTGGAGGGCGTTGGCGGGCACATCGAATTGCCGGCGCTCGATATGTTTGCTTTTTCCGGCCCATCACTTTCAATTTTATTTTTGGCTACAAATGATTCAGCGTTTAAGAGCTTAAAATGTCGGCCATTCCATCCTTTCTTGAACACTTGCATGATGAGATATCAGATCTCAAATCAGGTCATATTTTCTCGCTGCCCGGAATAACGAGTGCACCTCCCTCCTTGGAACAGAAGGATTGGATCGTCAAATCCTCCTCATGCCAGGGCGTTGCCCCCTTGGGAAGTACAGCTGGTGGAAAAATTGCGGATTGGAGAAACGAAACACCCTTAGGTGAGACAAACAGCCATCGGAGATTCGAAGGCTGGATGGACTTGAATGATAAAGGAGCGATCGTGACAAGCATTAATTGCACAGAAGCTGCAGCCAACTGATTGGCAGGCAATGGTTTCAAGCTCGATAGATCGTAATCTTCCCAGGAATCAAACCCTTTAGTCCATTCGCTAAAATTCAGGTATTGGGACAGCAGAGTTTTGATTGCTGAGACAGAAAATTAAACATGATCGTGGTGACCATTGAGCTCCTCAACACAAGGACTAGACTATTATTGTGACACGCCGCAGGATAATCCGGTGCTGATGGCAACGATAGCAGAGAATGGCAGAACCCCGCCTAGGCACTAGTCTCGAGAGTATGCTGGCTCCGTGCTGGGCCCCTGGAGGTTTGTTGGCGGATGCTGTGTGCACGCCGCGCTGGATGGTGAAGATGTTGAAGAAGTTTCCAGGCAATCAGCGTGGCCAGGAACGATGTTAGGGCTGGGGCCTAGGGTTAGGGCCCAGCCGCTAGGGCTTCTCCGTCACGCGATTGGACAACTGCATCGCGCTGCTCTCGCCCTTCCTGCACGTTTCATCACCCCAATGGCCCCCATTTCGACCATGGCCCAATGACAGTCTGCCTACCCGTGACGGGGGCTAAGCCATGGTGCGGTGATTCTTGGAGGGACTCGAATGCCTGTGTGCAGCCTGGTGGGGGGCTGCTCACCCCTCCTGGGCGCGTAGAGGTTGCAGATGGATCCTCCCACGTTACTTCTGGCGCTGGCTGGCCGATTTTCATCCGAGAAAATGGTTTGTCTCCCTGACGTTCATGAAGAGTCCCATCTCAGCTTTGCTAGTGAAGCACAAGTGACGTTGATAAGGGCCCCAACAATCATATTGGGCACCAACTTGAGATGCCGATTTGATGGGCAGACAAGTGCCTCGTGGCGACCACTTCAGCAACCGAATAAAACAGCACGCTCCTGCGCCCAGATAACTCATGACCCAAGGGAGGTAGAGGGGCAAGGTTTATTTTCCAAGTTCATGCGGCCTGCTGGCCCGCACATTTCAAAAACGAATGGGTACGCGCATGGATCCTCTCAAGCCTCAAAAGCTCTATCCTGTGTACGGCACAGATCGATGATTATTTCCATTTTCTCAGCACTGCGTCGTCGCCCGTGGTCATACGAACCCGGTGCGCGGCGGATACCATCTGGCAATCTCCGCAACATCCATGGATCTTTTTCGCCCAATTAATCAGTCTCTTCAAGCCTGACGGACTAACCAGGGCCCGTCCCGCCCGTGATTACTCGACCAGACAACCATATAGATTTGTGTGATGATTAACTTTTTCTCAAATATATAACATATATCTATGTAAATATAGATGTGTGTGTGTGAATCTATGGATAAACCCTCTGTCTAGGATGACTCCACGGTTTGTCGCTCGCCGTCCATTTCTACAATCTGAAAGGAGGGCTTCCTCCGCGAACTCTTGGCTCCGTTGTTTGAGCCCCTCCTCGATCGGCCAGTTAGTCTGACCAACCAAGCCAAATTGTGTTCATGCTAAACGGCGCTCATGCTAACTAACCAAACTTGAGCTCCGCCTTCTCACGCATGAAATCACAGTCGCCTCCAGAGTCGAGTGCGCACAATCGTCGCAAACTTTCACAATTCAGTTAATGAGTAATGGAGCTGTTCTCCCCTGAGATATTGGCTCGTATGATAAATATGGTCACAAATTATTGATATTAACTAAATAGTTAGTGGAAAAGTTTTCATCTTCCCAAATCAGGGTCAATTAACTTGCAGCTTGTTCGCTTCATGATTACAAAGTATAAATTTTCTCCCAACACTCCACGATCGCCAGTTGCGAAATCATCACCAGAAAGTTCGACTTTGAGCATGTCCCTTGCAAGACGTCATCAGAATACTCGTTCTCTTAACCTAAAACAGGGTGCATTTTGCGCCACCAGGTTTTTCCAGGCCTCATACCTTCAGTCCTTGCCTAAGAGGTTCAACTAGCCCTCTCCTCTCTCTCGCAATTTTCAATAATGGGAACGTGAGTGACTACGCTCTTTGATTTGAAACAAACTTTTCCCGCTTCAACGCTCTCCTACTATATTCCATCAAAACAATCCAAGCTATGCCGGAAGATCATGTCATTGAATATAGAATATTCACCACAGACCATATCTGAATTTCGAGGTTGAGGAGAATCCTCATACATCCGAGCAACAGATGTCAGGAAAAATCCACGTTCTCTGTAGGCGGTTGGGAAAACTGTATGATTTGAAGGTTGCACCATTTGTGACTTACCATTGTTTTCATCTCCCAAATCAGCATCGTGCGCCGGCCCATACGATCTTATATGCAATAGGCAAATCCTCACGCTGCTTTATTGATTTCCCCTCCAGCACACATGTCATCTTGCTGTCATTAGTGAAGTGTTGCATTACGCCATTTCCAACTTATTGATGATATACCACTCACCAGAGTAGGGAATATGGAAATTTGGCACAGGTGAAAAGAAAAGGAAGAGTAAGATATATCGCGAAACTTCACTGCATGTTATTTGTTTTAGAAGCGAACCAGCCAAATGCGCAAATGAGAGCAAATCAAACTCTCCCACTGCAAGTACGCATTAAACACCGCTGATCTCCCTCGAAAAATGATATTAAATCCACAGCTTCGGCTTGATTTTGCATCTTCCACTTCCTTTTTGAGGAATTGCTCGCAGCAATATCTGTCCTCCTACATCCCACATTTTATTCCCCCCCAGAGTTAACTAGGGCAGGTAACAGCAGCCGCACGGTCTTCCGCAGCCAGGAAACTCGGTTGCGGCATCCGCATTACGTTGAAGGAGCTGTTGGAATGTCTCATGGAAGATCTTTCCGACGAGTTTCCAGATGTCCACAGAAAATTAATTGCCCCGTATCCTAACGACTCAAGGTGCAGTTCAGACATATCAATCCTTAGTGGATAACGATACTGATAATGACTTTGGAAAAGCAGTGGTTCCAAGTGGTCCTGGAAGCGAAGAAACGTCCTCAAAATCCACAATCCAAGGGAATTATGCCCCCATTATGAAAGCTGCGTAGCCTACGGCGAAAAGCTTGGTGTCCCAAATAATGCATCTGAGAGCTTTTGTGGACCCTCTGAGCTTAAACAATGCCCTTATCCCGTCCCCCCGGAGCCTATATCTAATTCGGAACCTGGACAAATCTGTGCTTAGTTATGCCTTCTGCCTCGAGCTTGAGGAACTCTTACCAGTACCAGTATATATGCTAGTATATATATATCCACGGACAAATAGCAGGTATTCTGATCTTGTTGATTGCGACGGTGGAAAAGAGGGTTCTCTCTACCACTTCATATTACTAGTTCTGTGATCGAACGAGAATTGGGGAACCTTTCATCTTTCCAATACACAATGGTCCTCCTGGAAACGATGACTTTACTAGGATAAGGGCCGCTTTAAGATGAAGGAATTGCCTTTTCAATTTTTATTGTTATTCACCAACCTTTTCGCTTTATCCGAAAATACTCGGTGCCAAATTATTCTTGGTGTCAAAAAGCCACGGATGCCCGATGCATTGATTCATTCAACCAGCTTTCAGATTAAGCTGGCATATGGGAACTACGAGAGTTGGGTCATTTGAAGCAGCAAAAATGCCGTTACACAGCTCTCTTCCGACCGTCTTTTTTGTCATGTTTGCACCGAAATACCTCGAGCAACGCAACCAATCTGAAGGCATTCAAATATAGACAGCATACGATATTAAAATTCAACTGACCCTACCAAACTCCTTCCAGAAGCAAATTAAGACTCTCCATTACACGCCCACTTTGTCTTACTTGTTCCGACAAACACCGCGGTGCTACCGGCTTTTCTGGTCCCGAATCTCTTGGCCTCCTCGGCGTCACAGCAACGCATCCAAGGGAAAAAGGAGAAAGGAACAGGCGCACAACATTTCCACAGTTTTCGCTGCGCATAGGACGTGCAATAAGCACTCCCAAATGGGGCCCTGACACATATGTCCGCTTATAAAACAACTTCTTGAGATCCTCGGTAACTCAGTGAAGCATCATCCTTGTTTATGGACAAAATCGGTTCTCCTTTGCATGCTTGATTGAAGCTCGATAGACGTTTACGAAATGCACATCAGCCTGAAACTAGGAATGGAAAGCGTGTGTATGTTCTTTCATTCGCCGTTTTTCCGTCCTCTTGGTTTTCAAAGAGCATTCCGAGAAGCAGCGGCACCGTTAGGGCCGGCTCAAATTTCTTAAGCCTCTCGGGCCCTGAACTCATTCGAGTTGAGCGGCCCTCCGACCTAGTTCCTGCAGCCATGACGCACAGCAGGGGTGCACCATCAGCGGAATCGATAACACTTTCGGCGTAGCATTCCTCATGGCAGTCATCTGAGAAACAAATCTGATATATAATTAATTCCCTTTCCCAACATCTACGTGGACATTTGCCAAAAAAAAAAAAAAAAAGAGAGAAAGAGAGAGAGAGATATGCTGGTTTCTGTTTTGTTGGATACACGATTGGTTGAAGGCGGACATACCACCACACCAAACCAAAATATTTCCCAGCTCGCTGTTTGTCACACAGCAAAAAAGAAAGCAAAGAGATACTTCTTATCTATGCCCCATTTCAAGAACCCTATCAGAACAACAGGGAATCCAATTCAGCACATCCTTGTTTGTATTTTTTCTAATGGAATCACATACCCGCTCCCCGTTCTCTAACAAACTATATTCACAGGGGCAAAAACTCCCTTGGTGAGCTCTGAAATGCATGTGTGCCAACAAGGTGTCACGGATTGATGACCCAACAGATGTAAACTCCCATTTCGTACTCGATTGAGATGTTAATCCCGGTTTGGATGCCCAAGGGAGGGACGGTTGCAACATTGCCAGAATTAATTCAAATTGACTTCCAGTCGATTGCAAACCGTTTTCTCAAGCAAAGGGCAATCATGGATCACCAGGCCATTTTGGGTGTATTGGAGGCTTAATCCCCGAGCCATAATGGATTGACTTGAAAAGGCCAGAAAAGGATTAAAGGTGAAGTATTTTATCATTGTTATTGATACAATGTCACTTCTCCAATTATAGCTTATTCTTTCCTTCTTTTCTCCTTAGACACTCACCCATCATCCGTCCCGGCTCTGTTTCCGAGCCCTAAACCCTGCCAACGCCCTTCCCATCCGACTCGAAGGCACGGCCAAAATGATCAATTCCCGCCTCGATAGCTGCATTCGCTCCCATTCGTTCCCACTTCCCGATCAATTATTTCTGATTCCTCACCGCCGCAATGCAGCCCCTCTCCAAAATCTCGACTCACCCCGCCACTGCATCGTCCAGCTCTTCCCGCTCTACCACCTTCTCTAACAATCCCCATTCCAGCGCCTCCCTCGCACCTATCGTCTCACCAAGCAATAGCATTCTCCTCGCCCGACCCCAGCCGATCAACCCAGAAAGCAAGGCAGTTTTCACGACACTTGACACTCCCATGTGAGTTTCAGACATTCCCAGCCATGCATTACTACTGAATGCCCTAGCTGCAGCGTGGCTTGGGGAGATGGCGGCCATCTCGGCGATGTCGGCACTGCCTATGAAAAGAATTTAGGACCTGCGCTGGTGGGGGTGACGGCAAGTAGGTTGGGGTGGGTTGCGGTGTGTGTGGATTGAAGCTGGGAGTGCTGCGAGGAAGGATGCGGCTGTTGAGCGCATTGAGCTTCGCCGGCCGCCGTGAGATTGTGATAGTTGCAACGGGTTAGTTTGACGGGAGTACGGCCACAGATATTGTAATGGCTCCGTCGGCATTACTATCGCAAATCACGGTACTGCTGTTGGCCTTGCGGCCGGGCATTGTTGTGAAAGCCCTCGTTAGCTGCTGCGGTGTGTGACTTTGAAGGGCATTTATTATTATTGTTTTGTTGATCTGCTTTATTCTTGAGAATCCCTATTTAAACCGGAATTGCAGTATTTTAAAGGGGGAAATAAATCATCAGAAGTTGGCAAAAGTCCATGAATTCCCTAAGGGCGCTGCTTGATGTTGGATTTCCCCGGCAATCGGACAAAGACACAAGTCAGTTTACCGACGAATAGCCGCGATTTTGAGCTGTGCCTTTGCGTGTCGATTGCGTTCATACAACTACTAGATATGGCTGATAGAATGACGATTTAATATAATTCTATAAGTATATATATGAATCTGTCTTGACAAGTGGCTTTTTAAGGGTCAGTTGAACTTGTATTCCATCTCCCTCCTCCTGAGAAAGGACCTGTAATGCCAAAGGGGCCTCACCCAAGGAACTAAGCCAAATGCTTGACCTATAATTATACAGACAGAGCTTGCCAGTCTTGAGTTCACCTTGACAGTTTTCTTTTTTTGTTTTTGGTTTTTTTTCCGAAGCAGCATATTGAGGTGCTTGATCACTTTGGACAGGCATTGCTCTCATCACAAAAGCGAAATGGACAAGCCATGCGTTGTTTTTTGGTGAGGATAACATCATACTCGTCAAACCACATGGAGTTTGAGAGCAGCAGAGAAGGAAGGTCGAAACACCAATTCCAGAATGGGTCCGGTTTCTGTCCTCTATTTATATACCAGGAGATATGATGCTCGTGCTGCCTCTGGAGCGTTGCAGAGGGTTCGATCCGGATATCAAAATTCAAGTTATCCTGCCTGGTTGTGCATGAAAGCGGTCTGGCTTGCCTTGCTGATTGCACGGCCATCAATTTGCGCCCATTTGGCTGCGTGAAAGAAAGCCAGATATCTGCCTATCTCCATGTCAGATGCCGGTGTAGCTCAGACCGCCCGACTGTATAGTAATTTGTCAATTTTCGACCATTCCTGTGCAGACACCTGAGGTATACTCACTTGCTCATGTTGATTTGGAGTGACTACCTGGAAGGATTCTTTCGTATGCAAGATTTGAACGCTCGAATGGCTTGTTGGGAATTGGTTGGGTGTGGACTGGATGTCTGTTGGCGATTCTTTTGCGGTCCTGCCTTGCTCTTGGTTTTTGGGCCGCACCTCTGCACCAAAAGTGGCCGTAAAGGATGCATGATATGATCCCCGTTGCAAAGCCTCTCTATGATATCTCAGATAACTAATGCGCAGCCTTGTTAGCTCACTCGAGTCTTGACGGCTCCTCCCGCGAAGATACCTCACTCTCGGGAGGTGGAATAATGCGCTCTCATATGCATATATATATATATATATCTATATCTATATAATGTTCTCACGCCATATGCCAGCCAAACGAACAAAAAGAAACGAAAAAAAGTGTGAACCGGCTCAGGAAAACGTTGAAATATCGATCTCTCCGGCCATTTAGCAATCGTCATTTTTGGAGGTATCCAACAAAATTCCGTAGAGGACTAGTATTACAGTCAAAACAGCGACCATTGGGCCTGAATGAAAATGCCCCGGAGGGAAATCATCCTCTGGAACACGTTTGGAGGTATAAAGAACGAGAGAAGCCAAATTCATCAAGCCTGCTAGAACAATCCCCCCGCGCTGCCTTCCTGGTTATTTCGCATCATCCGTGGAGAATGTGCGATGCTCTGGTTATAGAGTTCGTCAGAACGGCGACCAAATAAACCTTGCGCTGAAGTCTGGGTTGGGGGTTGTTTTTTTGCCTCTGGCGTCTAAATACTAGTGCAACCAAGTACGTCACGTCATTCAAGATACCACACTTAATAATGAGCAGGTAGGGAGGGCATTTAGCTGAACGAAACCAGATGCATGCCAGGAGCCGGAAGGGACTCGAGCACAAAATGGCCTTTTATTTTATTTTATTTTTCTTTCTTTCTTTTCGCGACGCAAAAATGGGGCTGTGAGAAAATGTGAGAGAAACTTGACTAGTGCTCCTCCTCTGGGCACAGCGCGCTTTTGACAGCTCGCGGAAAAGAAGAAACAGGAGAATATCCCCTTCACAACACGCGCCAAAGAAGGCTGCAACGGCGAGGCCATTCGCCGCGAACTGAAAATCGAATCAGATCCACGGAAGCAAAGCAACTTTAAGATATAACTACTGCTTTCAAAGGAAACGGCCTGCCGGTGTTCTTTGTCGATGTTTCGTTCGCCCCGCCGCAGCCATCCGCTTCTCCCCGCCACTTAGCCTTTGGCGCGTACCCATGGTTGCACACTTTTGGGGACCGACGCTCCGGCTTCAGGTACCCGACAGAGCGGAACGGGTGTGTGATCCGGCGATATTAGAGGCTCGTGCTTGTGATTGTGCTTGTGCTTGATTTTGGGCTTGGGCAGGAGAAACACCCAACCCATAACCATTTGCAATGATGCAGGCGCCCTCCCTTGCTTTGTCGCCGCAGGATAGGGGGTCCAAGTCATTGTTCTACTCGACGGTGTGTGTGTCCCCTGTGTGCCAGGCCTAGCCTACATGCACATATCTGCCCCATGCGATGTACAGATTATGCAGATACCAGTTCCGGCATTTTATTGATGTATGTTTGTTGCGCAAACGGGCGGCCGCTGCAGTAAGGGCCGGGGGAGGAGGGGGAGGAGGAGGAGACGGGAGCGGGGCGGGTGGGAGCATTAGTGCGTTGGGATGGGATTTTATCCGCCCCGGGTAGCCTAGCCCCCGCATTTAGTCAACACAGGCGCCCACGGCGCGATTTTATACACGCTGTGTCATCCATGGGGAATCCAGCGGGCGTTGAAAGCTTGAATGCCGTCCGCCGTTTCGTCTTTCGGCTTTCGGGGACCAGCCACCCCGCATATATTGATTGGCAGGGAAACAGAGTTTTTCGCGGGACCGTATACCGCTCATGTCGGCGGGGCTTTGTCAATAGACCCTGTGTATCGGGACAAAGACAAAGACGAGGAGAGAAGGTTATTCCAAAACCGGATGGGCAGAAATCCCCTTTGAAGACATAGGGGTTGTTGTTCTGCTGCAATCGCTTTGTTTCATTTTACTTAGCGCGGGATTCTGGACCATTGTGAAAGAGAAAGAGAGAGAGAGAGAGAGAGAGAGAGAGAAAGAAACTATGGAACAGATCATAAATGGAATTTGATAGGATAGTTAGATGTATTTTGGCAAACCAGCTGGGTGGGTTCCTTTGCACACAAGCCCGGCCCGCCGCATTCAATGATTTGGCTGCTTCTTGTGATTCAACTCACAGTGAGAAGTGGTTGGTTTGCATGATAAGAGAATGGGTAAGGAGTAAGGTAAGATGCTTGTTTCAAGAATGCGCCGGTCTTGGTGGTTCTTGTGTCGAGGATGTTTTTTATATTGTTGCATCAGCCCATTTGGCCACTCAGGTATGTATGTACTGTATACTAGTAAATTATCTAGCCACAACACACAAAATGCAGCAAAGAAGCAAAATGGCAAACTCCGGTTGAAATATCGATGTTATAATATACACCTTCCCGGAGCCTTGGTTTCTCATCCTTGTCATCTCCAACGCAAGCCCACACCAGCGCTCGACAGGCGATGCGCAGATTACTCTTCAAACGCTACTTCCAGGAACATCATGCCGTTGAATCCAGATAGAGACTGGTATGTATGGAGTATGGCACACAACACCCACCCCTACGTTTTATCCGTCAGCACAGTTGAAAAAAACAAAAGCACAACAACTTAGAAGATAATATTCCTGAGATGTCCCTGCCAAGCAACGAGAGAAACCCTCAAGTTTGACGTCATATAGTAAATTAAGAATAACCTAGTGTTATAAAAACAAACAGCTGCACATCACATGCTGGGGAATAAGAAAGAATAGAAATTCGAATCTCGGATTGACGAGATCTTGCGCAGCCGCTCGTTGCCCTCCCTGGCAATACTCGCGATCGTAGCCGGTAACACGGATTCTGGTGGGAAGGCGAAAGATCCCTGCTGTCAGTATGTGCAGTACGAGCACAACTCTCAAAAACCTTGGTGGATTCGGGTGTAAGCATCCAGATCCAGGGCCCCTGGAGGAGAGGATATCCACGGAGGTCTGTATTGAGTGATGAATTGGTCGACGGGGTTTTTGATTTTTGAGCAGTCTTCCGGATGACGTGTGGAAGGAATTCTGAAATCACAAGCTGGAAAATATGATCTCAGTGTCAATTCCCCCCCCCCCCCCCCCCCCCTTCCCCCTTCCCTCGAATCCCAGTCGAGTTTGCTTGAAGGATCAGGCGGCTGTGGATGTCACCTGCCAATATTTTAATTTTCTTCCGTTATCAGAAGCAGAGGTCCCTGACATAGGGGGAGGGGAAAAAAAGGAGGGGATCCCCTCGGAACAGCACACATGTTGCAACTGGAATTGAAAAAATACATATTTCTCTTCCGAGAAAGGAAGAGCGGTCACTTCACCGACTTGTTTTTGAAAATAAAATCCACCGGAACAGAAAGAAAAAAAAAAGCTTGTTTGGTTTTCCCCAGATGGATGCCGGTTGGAGGAAGAGCCGGGGGTGGCGGGGAGATATGCCACACATCATGGAAATGGATCCGTATCTCTTCTCTGTGAGAGAGATCTTGACTAGACTTGTCCATTCCTTCATGGCCTTCAGCCAGGCTGGATGACACGAGCGATCTCCACGGACGATCCATCTCGAAAAGCGGAAAACGCAGATGAACGCGCACCGTCCTCGAGTCCGTACTCTGGAGTACTCTCCGTCACGAGCAGCAGCGGCGATACGATTTCCAGCGACATCTACGAGTCGAAGTGCGTTCGACTTCCTGGAGCTGAAGCTGAGACATGAGGGAGCGTTCTGTCGACATGTGTCTGGCCGAGGTTGCGCCCCGCCTCTGGCGATCGATAAGCCTGTTTGCTTCTTCAGGATGTTGAGCAAGCAAACTGACGATGGAGACACGAGTCATGACAGAGTTCAGAGTTCAGAGCCGCAGGCACGGCTGGTGGGAAATGTGCGAGAGTGGACTTGTGGTGGTTTTTGTTGTTGGTTGTTGTTGTTGTTGTCGTCAATTGTCTGTCGAACATTCAGCTTCTTTCCTTCTCCCGTCCTCGGGGGGTCACGGGGGAGCCAGGGGAGAACAGGGGGAAGCCGGGGGAAGCCGGGGAGTTGTCGGGATCCCCCTGTGGGAAGGAGTTTGTGTGTTTTAGACTTCCAAGGCTGTTGATATTCCGCCATCGATCACGCTGTCAGGCGAATCCGAATGCTCAGAGATGGCTCTGGCATCGAGTTTGCGCACGATGGCCAAAGCATCGCTCCGTTTCGATCCCTCAGATCCATCTTCACGACGTGAAATGTCCGCAGGAAAGACAGAAAACAAAACCCCACGGCTTGATGGAGGGGGGTACCTGGCCTGGCAAAGGCTGATCCTTCTTGTCGGGTCTCGAGTGGGCCCTTTTCAACATCCAGGGATGCAACAACGCGTGATGATTGGCACGGTTCAGCACCGGAACAGATCCGCATGGACGATTCGATTCTTCCATCTCACCTGTGGTTGAGAAACAGCTGACGCTGCAATCAAATGGAATGCTTCTTCTAGGAAGTTGCATCCCCATGGATGGATGCTTAACGGGAAATGCTTAAATGGAAATGTTTAAAATTTCGGGTCATGCACTGTACATACTTACTCTGTTTACTCCGTATGGCTTTTCGCACTTCACGGCTTTGGGAAGGTCGTTGATTTCCCCCAAGCGGTGTTTTGCCTGCGCCCACTTCTTCACGCACTGAGAGGCGGAGAGGCAGCGGGCCCTTCCAGCCCGTTGTTGGCCGTTGTGGGGCCTGGGCCAACTCCAGGATAGCCAGCCATCTCCAACACACGGCCGGAGTGATTCCGGAACCCTCTGTTGGTAGGGAGTCCAGAGAGCCCTGGATTCCTCCAGCCTTCCAGCATGAGGATTCTTCCAAGGTTGAAATTGGGCGGTTCCTTGTTTGGCCTCTGAGAGTGATGTCGAAGAAGAAGAAGAAGAAAAAAAAAGAAGGCTGTGAACCCCCTACTCGCGAATCTGCGGCTATAGTTGCCTAGTAGTAGCTACGACAGAGCATGTAACTGATAGTTAGTTGATATATATATATTATATATCGAGAAAATACTCCCAAAACCCACCCCCATGCACGCGATCAGGGCCCGACCTCCTGTTGGCTCACGAACAGCTGCACCTTTCAAGGATGTTCTACACAAAATCAACCAAGAGCCGGACACAGGGGGGATACGGCACTCTCGTTCCTGAATCCTGGCTGTCGGGACCGGGTTAACGTAACATGCTGGGAGGGGGATACCACTGAAAAAAAAGGGGGTGTTTGGGGGTGTTGTTGGGGGTGGTGGGGGATGCTTGACACCCATTACGAATTTACGACCCTGCTAAGCTGTGAATGGTCTAAACTAGCCCGGGCGGAAATGCAGTACCCTGGCTTCCGGCGGGACGGCGCGTTCCAGACGGGCGGTTAGTGGGATTGGGGGGGGGGGGATCCTCGGGTGAATGGGCTGCTGCCCGGGCTGGACTGTTTGTCTTCCGGAATGCGCAGTGTTCTGATTATTTGATTATTCTTTCGGAGTACATTCATGATTCTTGTTGAGCGTAAATGAGTTAGAGCCGGGAGGAGGCGTCTGCCACTGCTAGTTTGAGGATTGATTTTTTTTTTTTTTTTTTTTTTTTTTTTGAGAAACGGAGAACTGGGAAAGGGGCACGGATATAGTGCTTTCTCCGGGCGCTTCAATTTCTTGAAATCATTGAAGTCAATGAGACGGAGATCTTGCTGGTTATTGGAAAATAGAGTAGCTCAGTTTGAAACCAGCTTGAATTTGGGTTAAAAAAATATAAGAGATAGGTTCCCTTTTTGTTTTTGTTTTTTTTCCCTCCAGAGACGAGACCTCTCATATTGGATATCTGACTGATACAAGCTAGGTTAAAAAAAAAAAAAAAAAAAAAAAAAAAAATGAAAATGAAAAAATGAACCTCGACTTCCTGAATAGAGCTTACTCATGACTCTTCATCCCATCCCCCCTCCGAATCCCCAAATCCCCAGGATCTGGATGTGGATTCCTTAGCTCGTGGATCGCACTGGAAGGACGGAGGGACCAACCCTTAGTTTTGGTCTGATGCTCCAAAAGGGCCCAATAATAACAATAGCCTGAATCCCCTCCCAATAATTCAAATGCAGATCACCATGTTCGTCTGGAGAATCCAGTCCCCCTTCCTCCTGTAAGGAACGATAACCGTGTTCGAGCAGTGGAGACTTCTCGATTTTCCGGGAAACGTACTTGGTACATACTCTTCATCATCATCATCATCATTGGAACTCTAATGAAGATACCCTTGCTTGTGGTGGTGACAAGAAACCGTGCTGAACTCAAGAGTTGCTGCCGTGAGTTGAATTTCCTCTTCGGGCCTTTCGCTGTGGGCTTAGGGGTTTCTATCATCTTCGATCCTTCTCTGTTCTGAGTTGAGGCCTCGCACTACCAAGCCGCGAGGCACAACTTTGTTCACTGTTGCCCAAATAGCATACCCAAATAGTGTACCCAAATAGTATATTAGTTTATTTGCCCTTCGGGGTTAGGCGTAATATCCGCTGCCAGTGCTACCCCTGATAGGTCGTTGGCAGGAAAGGAATCCGGTTGGTCAAACTTTGGACTGCGCCGGTGGCAGCTTGGCAAGCGCGCAGAATATCGGGGTCGTGACTTTTACCAGGTTTGACTTAGCGCATTCGTAACAGCCAATAGCTCCAATGGGGCGCCTGGGGAAGGGGCCCGACAGCCTGGGTCAGCAGCGGGTTGGGGACAGGGATGTGTGAGGGTCTAATCTTGGGCGTTGCTCTGGTGCCTCTCTCGAGAGATGAGAGACGGAAGAGACCATAGCTGCTTAGCTGCTTAGTTTGTGGACGATACGGGTAGTCAGTCATTGGGGGAAAACACGACCTGCCGTCCATGTGCAAGGCCCCTTCGTGTTCGGAGCTCGAATCATCGGAGAAAAAGGAGGGAAGAAACCTCTGAGGAGGGTTGGAAGATCGAGCTGAGACGGTGGAGTCGCAGATAAGCTTTGGGGATAACCATGCAGGTTGTCCAAATGTGCTTCGGCATGGCATCCTTTCTGGATTTGAGTTTTCTTCTCTCATCACTGCCTCTGAGAACTGTGTGTGGATTCCGGCTGTCCTCCCTCTCTGTCAATCTCAGAGCTTGTTGATATCAGCCCACACCGGTAGACAAACTTTCATGCCTTCTCTCCAAAACGAAGCGATCTTTAGCAGGAGCATTGAGGCCCAGCAGGGACAGATAAGCTGTCCCATTTCCAATAGTATTATAGTTTTCGATATAAGTTTAAATTTGACGAGAAGTATCACTGGTTCCTTACTGAGATTTCAGAAGCTATCACATGAAAGAAAATCATCTTGATAACTATCCAGAATCAAAAATCAAAAATCATCAGCAGAGACAGTTTCATGAAGATTATTCAATCTGAACCGCGTTAGTGGCTGGCACTGCTGCCTCCCAATATTCCAATATATGGCCGTGAGCAATGTGTATCCTGTAAGCCGCGGTGGCGCTGCTTAGTGCCATCAGCGATTGGTGGAAATAAGCCATGCCCTTGTTTCCAGAACCCGGCTAGAAAGAGCCATCCATGGAGATAACCAAGGTTCCAGGAGCCTATCACCGGGATACAGCTAGCTGAACCATGTCCTGCCACGAGCTCCGAGACTCCTCAGCGTCCCAAGACATGTTCGATAACCCGTCGGGCGGGAAAAGTTTCCTCACTCGGACTCGCCTCAATACTTATACAGATCTGTTAAGCATCACCATCATCACCATCATCCTTGAGACTAAACTATACTGCCAGAGCTGACATCCCCAAGCCGTGGAAAAGAAACCTTTCCCAGCATCTCCATCCTGCTTTTCAAACTCAATATAATGGAATGAAGCCTTCGATATTCGTACTTGTCTTTTGTCTTTTTGTCTTTTGTGCATTGACTTTCCCTCGTGGGGCTTTTGATCTGCCCCCTAAGCATAGAATACTGGCGATACATATACGAAACAGTAAAATAAACGGTCGCTCCAGAAAGCCGGGCCAAGCTTGATAACTCCGGCGGTAGCGTTGGTATTGGTATTGGTGTGGTGGTAGTTGTGGTGGTAGTGGCTCTCGGACCGGATAAAAGCCTTCCAAGCTTCCGAGGTTAAGAATCAAAAGGGCCGCGGACAACATCTCACCCGAAACTCTAGCCACCGGCGGATCAGCGGCGGGATTGGAAGGATGAAATCCGGGAGAGGCTCGACTGAATTTAACTCAACGACTCCAGAGAGCAAACCCGAAGAGAGTTGCGACTAAGTGGAGCGCGGATGGGAAACTAACGAAAATGATGAGAGACCTGGCCTCTGCCGCGGGCGGGTCTAGTAATCAATTTATATTTATATTTTATGGTTTTTCTTTTTTCTTTTCATGATGTATTTAGTTTCTTTTTTCCTTCGATGCTGAACTTTGGAGTTTGCGGAGGCGGCTCTACTGGATATGCGGTACACAAACGGTACCTGAGGATCTGGCCTCGATCGCCTGGACGGCAGATTCTTGCGTAATTCATTGCCAACGTTTGACTTCTTTTGGGAGGTTAGGGGCCGTGGCGACAGGGCTGGATGGATTGGTCTCGGATTGATTGTATCGACGGTACAGAGGAAATAGAGTCGTTTGAAGAATGATGACTCTTTCGAAGGCGATGATCATGGAGTGAACATAACTAGGACTATTGGTAACTTGAAGCTTGTTGTCCTGTCCAATGTAGTATCCAACTCCTTTCCAAGGTTGAGACATCTCGATCCATCACAACTTGAACTTGAACCAAACAGAAGAACAAGAGGAGTGGACGTTATATTCCGCCACCCTCTCACGACCACGACCACGACCACACCTAGGAATCATGAAACAACACAAGGACACGGCAGACGAAACAAATGTGGACAGAAGACTTAACCAACACCCACCCGAAACAGCCCAGGGTTCACCAGCCCTCAAATCAGTTGAAACGCTGGTCTGGGGCTGAGAGTGGCCCTCTCGTTCGTCTCCCACGTTCCAGGTATGGTATAGGGTTGAGTTAACTGCTACGGAGCACAGAGGGGGTGGGTGGGTTCCAATAACGCCACTCAGAACCAGAGGTACATGTACATACAAAATTCAAACAAGTCCGATAGTATGTCCTGTACATGTGTATACATCACAGATTCGTAGTTAAATCACGCTCCTGCAAACGACCTTGTGCTTCGTGGACAGGAAAAGGGACCAGTTGGGTTAACAAGGATCGAGATCAGACAGAACAAAGTCGACACCGACACCGCCACGGTCAAGCAAGTTACCATATCCAGTATAATGTAATAATGTGCATGTACGATAGCTATAGTACGTACACACATAGTCCACCATGGTATGAGATGGGATAACTATTCTGCAGCCAACAAACAATGAATGATTCAGCCCGATTGCGGAATCAGCCATTTTTGCGACCTGTGATTTGCCGCGCCTGATGTGCTGGCTTGGGCGGATACAACAACAATTGCGGAGTTAGTGGACATATGTGGACATGTGTAATCTTGTATACGTTGTAGAAGTCGATGATAGGACTGTATGTACAGACATGTCCTGTTGTTAACCCAATCAAACCCAACTCGCTATTCCGCACCCAACTGCGGCCTCCCTCACCTGCTGCTGCTGCTGCTTCTTTGTTTCGTTGTTGTTTGCAGAAAGAAAGAATCAAGAATCAACCATCAACTGCAGCGGGAGAAAGAAAGAAAGAAAGAAAGAAAGAAAGGACTAGATACATACTACAACAACTCCACCGGCAATGGTTTTACCTGACCCAACAGCAACTCAAACATAACCCCGGCCGAAAACCCCGAAGAGCCCAAGAAGCAAAAAGCAACGAGAGGGGGATACGAAGATACTTTCTCGACGAACAAACGCGTCCATGTGTTGTTCTTGTTGTTGTTGATGTTGTTGGGCTGGATCATCTCTCTCTTTGCCCGACCACCACCACCGCTCGCTGATGATCCTCCTCCTCCTCCTCCTCCTGTCAGCCTGGCGTGGTCGAACTAACTAACCATCGGATCGCCGCAGCTGCTCTCCACACTCGCCCATCTCCAACCCATCGAACCCAATCGCACCCCGCCGCGGTTACCAACTTAACTCCGTCTGGTACCCGATGGTACTTTTCAAACTCTGTGCGGTGAGGTGGACGCATCACGCATCCTTCTCCTTTTGTAGGGCATGCGTATCTGTGTAAAAGCAAAGCATCGGGCGGGCACAAATCGCCAGCTTGCGACCACATCAGGAACAAACGTGGAAGGATCTTTTTTTAAATACCATTTTTACGCCATTTTTGGTTTTGGGATGTTATGATTATTATTATTTTTTGGTGAGGGAGTGTGCAATAAAAAAAAAAAAAGAAAATTTACATTACTCGCCAACAAGAAAGGAACAGAACATCAAGTTATCATCATTGATCGGATTTGTTAGATAACCTAACTAACTGGAATCTGATCCAGCCATCCACGGGAAGGAAATCAGACATTCTCGCGATCCTGCATTGCGATTTGTGCGTTGCACCCGTGATGCACCCGGCCTGGTCAAACGAAGGAAACACGAGAGTAGCCAGGAAGTCATCGAGTCGAGTCGTGCTTGGTCAAGAGGCAAAAAGGAGCTCGATCACTCACGTCTCTCTTCTGGCAGCCATAACTTGCTTCACCGTTCTTCTCTGGCCGGGCCAGGGGACTGGGAACCCGTAGGTTGGGTCGAATCGGAGCCTCGACATCCTGGTTGTGCCCGTGAACAAGCCCTGTGCCGCCTCCTCATCATTTTTACAAAGTGGTTTTGCGAAAGAAAAAAACAACCGAAAAGGAAAAAAACAGAAAAGGGCAAGGCGACTAGCCGTGGGACATCCGGCTCCCCGCCAGACTCCCACCGCCCAAACCTGCGCAAGTGAGCTAGGCCGCCGGGGCTTGTTTGGCTCAGCAGCGGACCGTTCCATGGAAGCGTGCTGGGGAACCTTCAACTACTGGCAACCGACGCCCCCCAGATCTCACCAGCGAAGTCAACCCCGGCCCCACCCCCCCTTGGGCGCTTGGCCCTCCGTTAGGTTTCGTCGTCCAGCCCCAAACGAAAAAAGAAAAGAAGCAGCAGGAAAAGCAGAAAAAAAGCAAAAAAAAAAAGCAAAAGCTGAACGCCGAAAAAACAAAACTTAAAAAGAGGGAAGAAAGCAAAAGGTGACCAACCAACCAGACAGAAGAGCTGTCATATTTTTATACTTTTGGCCCTCTTCTTTATCCCGCCGCAACGGTTTTTTTTGTTTGTTATTTGCCTAGCCCGCCAAACAAGATCCTATATATCAATACCGCCGTCCCGCCCGTCTGGGTTGATTGTCTCGATCGCCTCATTCGTACCCTGAATAATCCTGAATAGCCTCCTTTCCACTGTTCCTCCCCCAGGTTTTATATAAACCTCCCCCAGACTCTTCACATCCTGCTGCTGACTTCCAACTTACCTCTTTCAACATACCACCATACCATATTATCATTACATATCTTATGGCAGAAGCCATCCGAGAAATACCTCAACTGCTGCTGCTACTGCTACTACGACTATAACGTCAAACATCCACATCCACCACACAACACTGCTACTACCTCCAGCAAAATGTGGTACGGATTCAGCTTCAATAGCACGCTCTCCTCGCCATCTGGCTCACCCTCCTCTCTTCCTCCACCTCCTCCGCCATCTCCCAACGACTCTCTACTTGATATTGCTCCCCGCAAAAGCTCTTTCTCCATGACATCGGGCAGAAACACATCATGCGCCTTTCCCTCCTGGCCCAACCGGTCCTCCCTCTTTTCTGACTCAGACTCCACAGCCAGCGCCTACCTGTCAGACGAGGATCTCTTTCGAA